AGAAACCTATGATTGTGGGTTCGAATCCCGGTTCGCCCCGATTATGTTTCTAGGTTTGTCAGCACCATACCCGTGCTCGTGGGTTTCTCCGAAGTGGTAAACGTCTGAGACCTGCATCACTTCGGGCTTTCCTCCCACATTAAGCTGACACGCCGCGATATAACTGGAATACTGTTAAAAGCGGCGTTAAACCCAACTCAATCACTCACTCACTCTTAGTAATGTACAGATCGCTGACTTTGTGTGCTTGCGATGAGGTGCCTCACTGTGGCAGTGGACCCGTGAAGATTCCGGGGTAGAATAGGTCTTCAGCAACCCATGCTTGCCGTAAAAGGCGACTATGCTTGTCGTAAAAGGCGACTAACGGGATCGGGTGGTCAAGCTCGCTGACTTGGTAGATACATGTCATCGATCCCAATTGCGCGGATCGATGCTCATGACATTAATCACTGGATTGTCTGGTCCAGACTCGATTATTTACAGACCCCCGCCATATAGCTGGAATATTGCTGAGTGCGGCGTTAAACAACAAACCAACCCACCAACACTGTGGCAGTGTGGGTTCGAATCACATGTCGAATGTGGACGTATGGGTGTGGTGGGGGTGTTGGTGGGTGGGGATGTGGTTGTGGTTGTGGATAATCATTAAAGAGTTAGCTGGTCACCTTTCAAATGTACACAAGTGAACACCATTCTACGTGTCCCCGTCGCGATGTTGCTGGAATAAGCGACTACAGCACCGTAAAACTCACTGACACACTCAAGTTGAGAAATGTATTATTCCATCAACAGACGGAAATTATTTCAAAATCTAATTTGAGGAGTTTGGGGGATTTTTTAAGGAAGGGAATTTAGAGGTTCTGCATACGTGTAAACTGCTGGGTGAAAAGCGTACACTTGAAATTGAATTTGACCAAAAATCTACAAACGCCGAAACACTGCAAACGTAAAGTCCAAAACACAACTATAACACCCGTATCAAATACACCATAATCGAATAACCATTTCTTGTTTGTTTTAATTTTAGCCACCATAACAAATGGATGTGTACTTTCTTTTAACTGGCAGGAACGTTGTAATGTATGTCTTCAGCAACCCATGCTTGCAGTAAGAGGCGACTATGCTTGTTGTAAAAGGCGACAAACGGGTTGGGATGGTCAGGCTCGCTGTCTTGGTTGATACATGTCATCAATCCCAATTGCGTGGATCGATGCTCATGTCGTCAATCACTGGACTGTCTGGTCCAGACTCGATCATTTATAGACCGCCGTTATATGGCTCGAATATTGCTGGCGTGCGGCGTTAAACAACAAACAAAGAAACAAACGAACACATCTTTCCGAGTTAAGACGACACAGTTGAAACAAGTGATTGAGGACGGTGACAATCTATCAGTGAATCCCTTCTGAGTGATGGTCTCATCGTTCCTTCCCCTACCATACTGAGGGACAAAAGAGTGAGTGAGTGAGTTGGGTTTTACGCCGCTTTTAACATTATTCCAGTTATATCACGGCGTGTCAGCTTAATGTGGGAGGAAAGCCCGAAGTGATGCAGGTCTCAGACCTTTACCACTTCGGTGAAACCCACGAGCACGGGTATGGTGCTGACAAACCTAGAAACATAATCGGGGCGAACCTGGATTCGAACCCACAATCATAGGTTTCTGGTGTGCCCAAGGGACGCAACTCTGCACAGCGAATCGCGGCGCCTTAGACGACTGGGCCACCCGTGCCCCCGAGGGACAAAAGAAAGTATACCGAGTTTCTTTTTTATTTAACTGAAAATGGAAGGAACAGTTCAACTTGTTAAATTTGATTACGTCTAGTTAACTCATTCCTGCAACAGTTAGTAAAAAGTAATATGTGGCCGGGTAAGTTTTTTTTGTAAAATTAAATTGGTTCACTGAACACAGGCATACGAAATGAGCCCAACTGTGTTTGAAATGTTGTAAATTTGTGCCGAAAAAATGAAATTTATTGATTTGCAAAGATAAGATATTTAAGATCCAATAAGTTTTGTATTATGCAGTTGCGTATAAGTTTTAAAATAAAATTAGATATTTAAAATATGACCATGCAGTTTTCTTTGAGCGCTGACTAAGCGGGAGAACAATTAATATTCGGATGAAATATCGCTAACTTGAGATATTTTGAATTGAAAATCAAACACATATTAAAATCAATCGAAATGTGTAGATTCGTTTACCCTTCAGTTTATGACGTAATGGGGACTATATACCTGCCTCCACGAATGTGGGTTTTCTCCACAGCTGGGATGCTTTACGTTCCCCTCGTGATCACGCGTCAATGTCGCGATGTCGCAATGTCGTAAGGTAACTTTGGGTGGTTAACACGCTGTACTACGTATTTTCAATTTTGTTGTTGTTGTTTAACGCCGCACTCAGTTATATTCCAGCTATATGACGACAGTCTGTAAAAAATAGAGTCTGGATTACACATTCCAGTGATTGATAATGTGAAAAATGACCCACGCCATTGAGGTATGATGACATGCTATCAAACAAGTCATCGAGCCTGACAAGCCGATCCATTGGGTTGATTGTTGAATTGGACTCATCTTCGTACATTCGTTATTGTGAAAATGTTTAACGAAGAATGTTTTGAAGCTTCATATTGCAGAAATTTGTCTGTACACAAATACGTTTACCTTTTGGTATGACGATTTCAATACTACTGAAGACTAACACACCCGTATATGGAATATACAAGCCCGCCAGTCATGTTAAATATACAAATATACTGTCGGCGAAAAGAAAGTATACACTTGAAAATTGGATTTGACCAAACAATTACAAACGTTATCAAATCAAAACACTGCAAACGTAAGGCCAAAATCAACTATGATACCGGTTACAAATACACCACAATCTAATAGCCATTGACAGAAAATAGATGTTCGATTGAGCTGAGGTTAACTTCATTCGTGACCAACTCGTGTTATTCCGAGACAAGCCGAATAGCTACTCGTGCCCCTCTCATGGCCATTTTTGCGACCGGGTTCCGTCTTAGCGCAAACGGGCATACCTAAAACAATTGTCAACTCGTTGCGTAATGGTTCACACATATTTCCCCATATATTATATATATTTCAGATGCAATTTAAAGCACATCGGGACGTGCGGAATTTTACAGTGTGATTGAACACACTTAACTGTGTCTTGGGTGTATCTTTAGATGCAAGACATATATAAAATCTAAAATTATTTCTAAGGGATTCTTTGATTAAGAACTTGAAATCATACGCGCATTCTGATTGGTTTGTCGTATTTTCGCACATAACATTCATCGATAGGGGGACGAGTCTTCTTGCAGGTTACGGAAAGGGGCGAGTGGTGACGACTGAGGTTAACTTGTGCTATGTCACGTGACTTAGACTGACTAGAAAAAAGCGTGCGGCTTTTTGCTTTGAAGCGGGGTTATCAGGGATTTATTCTGCCTCTCAGAAATCCACGTGCGGCCTGTATTGCTCGTGGCGGGGTATAAGATTTATTCCCCCTCTGAAACATGTATTACCCTCCAGGGCGAGTGACACATTATTTTATCAAGATCACGTGGACCAATCAGATCTCATCTTTCTGACATGGAGGTATGATGACTTCTTTTGTCCGGCAGTTTGCGCGGGAACGACACCTGCTGAGAATTACCTGCAGACATCATGTCATGCATGACGTGTACATAATCTGTGAATAGGTACAGATTAACTCGTATTAAAACCCGATATATAAATATACCGATTAGCGCACATGTATTATCCTATTATTTCCAATCGGATCAGTCGGTGTAATATTTACCATGCAACTAAGCAACATGTGCGGCCATTCCAAGCATGCTGCGGTTGTTTGTCAGATACCACATGTCGACAGGGAAGAAAGATGTACTGTGTAGAACCTTGTCAGGCTGGACAGGCGTAGAAGGACGGGGGATACCACGTGAATGCGTAGGTGGCGAGGGAGGTCTGTATAACGCCGCTTTGAAAAGCAGTATATTTGTCTCACAATGATATCCATGTATACTCCCCAAGGAGCTGAGAATGAAATTCGAGTGCACACTGATCAATTGGCCGGGGTAATAATGTAGGCTTTGAGCACGCTTTAGGTTTTGGATTTTGCGTACTATAAATATGTACATAATTATGATTATGATTATGATTATTATTATGTCGCGTTAATGAGCGAAGAAGGCCCAAAGAGAAGTACATACGCGGCTAAGAGACAGAATTGAACTTGGTCGGATCTGAGATTCGAACTCACGATCTAAGGACTATGCCGCATTTTAACGTGAATAACCGACTCAGACACAGTATCACTGGATTCTCTGGTCTAGACTTTATTTACAGACCGCCGCTGAGTGCGGCGTTAAGCAGATGCCAACCTACCCATTCACGCGCCTAACAATTCACTCACTCACCTTAACAAACTCTAACCAACCCATCCACCAAAGGCGGATTCAACATTTTTAAAAGGGAGGGTTCCAAAATGTCAAAATCCTCTCTCAGATAATTTTACTGCCCACAACAAATGGGGGCTTAGGGTGTGGGCGCTGGGGCCGGACCCCCTGTAACCCCCTTCCGGATCCGCCTATGTCCACCCAAACAACCTGTTTAATATAATTACTCGCTTACCTAAACCCGCTCGTCGTGACATTGATGCATATACACCATAACCTATTTCAATGATCGGGGGCACGGGTGGCCCAGTCGTCTAAGGCGCCGCGATTCGCTGTGCAGAGTTGCGTCCCTTGGGCACCCAAGAAACCTATGATTGTACGTTCGAATCCCGGTTCGCCCCGATTATGTTTCTAGGTTTGTCAGCACCATACCCGTGCTCGTGGTTTCACCGAAGTGGTAAAGGTCTGAGACCTGCATCACTTCGGGCTTTCCTTCCACATTAAGCTGACACGCCGTGATATAACTGGAATAATGTTAAAAGCGGCGTTAAACCCAACTCACTCACTCACTCATTATTTCAGTGATCTGGCAACACCCACCTTTCATCCACCATGGGTTGTGGCAACTCCAAGCAAGAGATCGTCTCTGCGACAAGCGCAACATGGGCGATTCCGTCGACGGAGAAATTCAGGTTAGAAACCATAAGCCCTATTGGTGCAGGCGAGCCAGGGGACCCATGGAACGCGAGCACACCCAGGAGCCCGTGTGTGAACGTCAGCCCCTGGGACCGCGAGGTGACGGACGACCTGCTGGAGACTCACACGAGTGATTACAAGGACACGAACCCTCCCATCACTCCGCCGAGGAAGAGGAAATCAGAGGCAGTTCCCCCACCCGCAGCCTTTGCATTTATTGACGAATATGTTGTCAAGGTAAGAAGGGTTGTGATGATGAATCGCTCTGAGTGGTGAGGTGAGGTGAAATTGGGTTTAACGTCGCGTCCAAGATTATTGCACTTATATAGCGACGTGCATGCACGTGTATGTGTGTGTGTGGCTGCTTGTACTAGTCCGGACTGATGCCGATTTATAGTGCTAGCTGACTGAGATACCATGCCGCAGTTTAACATGAATACCCCACTCAGACACAGTATACTGACTCCGAGCCGACCAGTCCTTGTTTTAGCCCCTTAATGCCGAGCGCCAGACAGGGTAACAACAAGTACCATCTTTTAACGTATTTTTGTATGACGCGGCCCGGGATCGAACCCTGGACCTTCCGCTCTCCGGGCGGACGCTCTACCACAAGACCACGGAGGCGGTTCGCTCTGAGTGGAAAAGTGATTAAACGCCAGGCCCGAAGTAACGGGGATGGGCTTATTTTTAGTATACATTTCATATTAGTCATTGAGTTATACTATGCATATCAACAATTTAATAAACAAATAAATGAACATATTGCTACGAGAGAGACTGAGAGAGAGAGAGAGAGAGAGAGAGAGAGAGAGAGAGAGAGCGCGAGAGAGAGAGAGCGAGAGAGAGTCTCTGAACTGCACTTTTTATCCACTTATTAATACGGAGAGAGTAAAATAAAGGGGTATACCTCAAATCCACTCGCACAAGGAAAGACTTTCAGAATGTTCCTCGACCCGTGAAGATCCGGGGTAGAATAGGTCTTCAGCAACCCATGTTTGCTGTAAAAGGCGACTGTGGTTGTCGTAAGAGGCGACTAACGGGATCGGGTCATCCATCCCAATTGCGTGGTTCGATGCTCATGATGTTAATCACTGGATTGTCTGGTCCAGACTCGATTATTTACGTACCGCCATCATACAGCTGGCATATTGCTGAGTGCGGCGTAAAACAACAAACAAACTGATGGTAACATCTATGGCAGGTGAGCCTATCAGGAAAAGGTGAAGCGTTTTCACCTTGGATTGTTTCGATGATGAGATGTAATTTTCTCAGCTGAAGCCCCTAACTTACCCTGATATACTGATCAAGAGATATAAGTATACACCACATATTCAAACATGCACACATAACCGTCGTTCGTACGATGGTCTTTCTTTTATATTAGCAGATACTTTCAATGATTATGGAAAGTTTTTTTTTATCCTTAAATAGATTTCGTTCAGATAGATTTCCATTCTTCAAAATATAAAATTCCACCTTGTCGAATGTGGTTACATATCAGTACAGATCAATCGAAATCAATCCAAACAAACCCAGTGTAATCACTCTGAAATGTTTCTAAACGACAGAGCAAAAGAAAGTTTACACGTGAAAATTCACACTTCAATCTGTGTACTGTGAAATTTCGAACCCTATGTTCCTTGCGACGTCATGTGCACTGCACCTGTTGTGAGATACTAATTGATGTGAGGCATGCAATGTCGCCTATGATACTTGTATCACATCAGCATTGAATAACCATTTCGTGTGTGTTTAAAATGTAGCCACTATCAAACAAAAGTGTATACAGTAAACTACGGTTATGACGAACTCAAAGGGATCAATATATTTTGTTCGTTATAACCGGAGTTCGTTATAAGCGTTTCAACTAAAGCATACCGCAAATGACCGGGACCAAAAACAACAGTTCGTTACATCCGTCACTTCGGTATAAGCGTTCAAACCTTTCATTGGTTTTCAATTTGCAAATACCGAACTACGCTTAAGGTATGGTGTTATCTAACTGTTCGTTAGGATAGTGCCGGAGAGTCAAGATATAGTTGATGTATTTACTTATAAAATTTACTTCAGTATTTTTGGGAGTTAAATGCGTACATGTACAAACCGGTGTAAACCGGTTTTACGTATATACCTCCATAAACGCTACAAATATTGAAGTGAATTCTTAACTGAACTCGACTGACAACTTCCGGTCATAGTCGTTTGTCCTTCACGTCATATTTTGTGTGAAACTATCGACCCCTCTACCCCTCACACTCAAGCTACCTTTACAGGTTTCAGTTCCAGAAGCACCACAATGCCGACGATTTCCAGCCTTTCTGTGTAGGCAGTGCCATGAAAATCATCAACATATTAAGGGCGTTTTGAAATAATTATAATTTTATGACGTATATCACGCAATTCTTGCTCCCCATTGCTTCCAGGCTCCCGACAGCGTTCAGTCATCAGTGGCCTTCCTCGCTCAGTACCTCACAAGACCAGCCCAGAATGACATGGAGAAAGTTCGCGCATTCTTCAGATGGATTGCTCACAATATCAGGTAGATGTGGTCCAGTAGACTGACACAGACACATTGTTCATGTTTCCTTCAGTATATTGATATGTAACATCTAAGTCAAACTAAACCAGAACACGTTAACCCCAACTCATTCCACCATGTACAGGTGCAGAGTGGGGTAGGCAAGTGGTTAAAACGTTCGCTCGCCACGACGAAGGTTGGGTTCGATTCTCCACATGGGTAATGTGTGAGGCCATGTCTTAAGCTTGTTCTCCCTGCCGTTATGTTTCTGGAATGTTGCTGAAATAGATGCATCATTTGACATTGACGTCAAACATCATCAGTGGTCCCGACAGCTATTCTTCCCATGGGGTCGATGTTCAAGTCTTTTAAAGGCATTTATAAGTGATACACATAAGGAAGAGAATTTATGGATGTCAACTTCTTTATTATGAGGAACACAACGTTTCGGAGTGTATACTTACTCCTTTATCAGGTGAATAAATGCTTACTTACTTACTTACTTTGGAGATTTAACGTGCGCTTTCCGACTGATGCGTATTTCGCACACGGGCCCGGCCAGGCCATTTAATGTGTTTCCGAAAGGGGCGAAGGTGGTCTGTGCAACCCAAGAGGGGGCTTTAGGGGTTGCTTATATAGAATTTGGGAATTTTGAGATTTGGAATAGATGCCGATGGGGTTGGGGAGGAGAACTAAGGGAGCTGGGTATGGTGGATGTTTGTTTGTTTATGTGATTTTGATTTGGTAGATTATTGTGTTTTTAGATGCGTTTTATTTTTTCCGTTTTGATTAAGAATACGCCTAAGGCCTTGAAGTTTTCTAGTTTATTTTGTGGGTTTCGTATTGCTTCTAGAGTGAGAGCCTTGTTTAGATGGTTTACTCTCACTTTGCCAGCAGGCTGCGGAGATTAACTTGTACGGTCCAGTGACTTGCCAGCTATAGCCTGTTCTGAATAAATACTATGAGACAGAGAACATATATATGTACATGTAAGAACAACAAAAGTTATAAGATAACACATGGGGAAGCCAACAGATGATTGGCACTGATAAGTGATAAGCAATAGACAGTGGAAGCCAACACTTTACAGTAAATTAGCGCTTCCAGAAGTCAATCACTAACAACTATCAGCGCTAATTGTGTTGGCTTCCCTTGTCTATTGCTAATCACTTATCAGCGCCAATTATCTGTTGGCTTCCATTGTTAAACTTCCACCTTTGTTATCTAATAACTTTTGTTGTTCTTACATGCACATATATATGTTCTCTGTCTCACAGCATTTATTCATGAGATGAAGGTGCAAGTGTATATTCCGAAACGGTGTGTTCCTCATAATAAAGAAGTTGACATCCTTAAATTCTCTTCCTCAAAATTACATAAATTAGCTCACAATTTTAAAGAAATTTGTACCTCCATGCGGGTGTTTCCAGATATGACACCAACATCCTGAGAAGGGGTAAATGCGGTCCCCAGGACGCTGACTCTGTGCTGCGGTACAAGAGGGCTGTGTGTGCTGGCTTCTCATCGCTCTTCCTAGCGCTCTGCAGGTCAGTCATCAGTAGCTCAACACATTTAGCTGTCTTTCGTTTGTTTGTTTGTTGTTTAACGCTGCACTCAGCAATATCCCAGTTATATGACGGCGGTCTGTAAATAATCGTGTCTGGATCAGACAATCCAGTGATTGACACCATGAGCATCGATCCACGCAAATGGGATACAATGACATGCATCAACCAAGTCAGCGAGCCTGACCACCCGATCCCGTTAGTCGCCTCTTACGACAAGCAAAGTCGCCTTTAACGACACGCATGGGTTTCTGAAGACCTAGTCTAGTAGTTAAAGCGTTCGCTCTTCATGCCATAGACACGAGTTCGATTCCCGACATGGGTACACTGTGTGAAGCCCATTTCAGGTGTCCCCTGTCGTGATACTGCAGGGATATTGCTAAAAGCGGCGTAAAGCAATACTCTCTCTCTCACTCATAAAAGATACATTTCACTGAATGGTATTTTCCACCACCTTCAAAAACGTTTTATAGACATGTGTTTCTTTTGTGCTTACAGGGAGGTGAAGATACCCTGCAAGGTTGTATCCGGCATCGCCAAAGGATATGGGTTTGACCCCGAAGTGAGGGTCACGGCGGATACCGACACCAACCACGCCTGGAACATCGTCTACGTCAACGGCGATTGGAGACCCATCGAAGTCACGTGGGGTGCGGGGTACATTGGCGACAAGTTCAAATATGTAAAACAGTTTAATGAGTTCCACTTTTTAACCGACCCGGATGACTTCGTGGTGAAACACTTGCCATACATAGACAAAAACTACGACAAAAGCCACTGTTATCAATTGCTGGCCAAACCTTTAACGATTGATGAATATGCAAAAGCTATCTGTCCCCATGTCGAGGGAATTGAATGGGGATTTGAGTCTAAAACACACGGTCAGGTGGTAGACATGGACAAAGAATGTGAAATTAGGATTGCAACGAAACGAATCACCTTACAGGATCTTTTCTCTGACCTCAAAGACATATCAACGGGGAAACATTACAATGAACATGTCCTGCTGAGAAAGACGCCAGATGGAGGGTTTTCTGTTAAGGTAACACCTCCAATCACAGGTAAATTTGAACTGCGACTGTACGGGGAAGAGAAAGGTGCCACTCGGAATACGTGTCTCATGACCTATACAATACGTTGTCACAGCGTGTGCACTCTTGTGAAGCCCTATCCAAAAAGCTGGGGGACATGGGGCTTAAAAGCCGACCCGGAAACGTATGGCTTTAAGACGGACACTTGCACAATAGATCTGGTCAAAGCAAAAAGTGGAAAAGCTGAAATAAACATGATGGTTAAACCATGTGCTTTTCCATCTTTCAATCTGGTTCATTCTGAAGATAAGAGAAAAGACCTCACAAAGTTCCTCATGGCGTTCATAAAAGACGGAATGCTGAAAATAAAGTTTCGTTTTCCATTGGCCGGCTATTACAAATTTACAATATTTGCCCCCAAAGTCACTGGCTCGAAACATGAACATGATCACCTTGGAGACATTCTTATAGAAAGCGAGGATTCCCATCCGGATACACTCCCGTATCCCACAATGCACTTCACGTGGGGCCTCTTCCCAGGAGCCACCAAATATGGATTTCTGTCTGTGCCTCATGCTGGAGACATGCTTAGTTCTGAAAGCGGCAAGATTTGTATGAAGTTCAAGGTCAAACCTAACATATCCGTATCATTTAGGCTTGAGCATGCCACACAGAAAATTGTCAACCTTGACCGATTGTTGATGGCCTTTGTTCAAACCGACACTCTCCATATCTCCGCACGGCTACCGGAAGTGGGTTATTATAAGCTGAATGTATTTGGCAAAGACATTACCCAAACATCAAAAGACAGTAACGACCATATTGGCCATTTTCTGCTTAGCTGTTCAGATCCGTGTAAAGACCTAAAGCCGTATCCAGACAACCATGGCACATGGGGAATAAAACAGATGGCTAGGGATTACGGCTTTCCACCGAACATATTTTCCCAGAGTTCCCTGACGACGAGTGAGGCGGAAGTTGAGATGAAACTAATGGTAGACCCCACAGTGTCGACCACGTTTACACTGTCTCACTCAGAGAAGGAGATCTCTGACATTGACCGATACGTCTTCTCGTCCATCACAAATGACACTCTTGTTCTCAAAGTCAGATTTCCTAAATCTGGCTTTTATAAACTGGCTGTATTCGCAAAACATCCTGATGCAGATGGTGGGGCATCATATGACCACATGGGTAACATATTGATTGAAAGTAAAACTGAAGTGTTGGGGATCAAAACCTTTCCTACAAACTACACCGCGGCTAATGACTATGGCTGCGTTCTACTGGAGCCTCTCTGTGGTGACATTCCAGCCAATCAAACCACCCGACTGCGGATGACGTCAGACAGTGTTCTGCGGATAATGATCAACAAAGAAGTTCACAGAAAGGGAGAAAGTGACGAGTTTGACGTCACGTTTAACGCTCCAAGAAAGGGAGATTCTGTTTCAGTGTATGGGAGCGCGGAGGAATCAGGGAACCTTTGTAGCCTCTTTAAGTTCCTGTGTGTGTAGCATGTGAATCATTACTCGGAATGCATTTGTGTCGTTGTCGCTGAATCCTACTTACACTTAGGATGACACCACAAACAACAGTTGGACATCTCGCATGTTACGCATGCGTTTTACAGGATGTACTTGGTACATTTCTGTAGCTCAATTACCAAAGCATGTTGTCACATATCTTCAGTGAAGGTCTTGATCTAATAAAAAAACAGGTTGTCAGTTCTGTACAGTGAAGGTCTTGATCTAATACCACAGTAGGTTGTCACATGGCTAGAGTGAAGGTCTTGATTTAATGCCACAGCAGGTTGTCACGTGTGTACAGTGAAGGTCTTCATCTAATACCACAGCAGGTTGTCACGTGTGTACAGTGAAGGTCTTGATCTAATACCACAGCAGGTTGTCACGTGTGTACAGTGAAGGTCTTGATCTAATGCCACAGCAGGTTGTCACGTGTGTACAGTGAAGGTCTTGATCTAATGCCACAGCAGGTTGTCACGTGTCTTCACTGACGGTCTTGATCTAATACCACAGCAGGTTGTCACGTGTCGACTGTGACGGTCTTGATCTACTACCACATCAGGTTGTCACGTGTGTACAATGAAGGTCTTGATCTACTACCACAGCAGGTTGTCACGTGCGTACAGTGAATGTCTTGATCTAATACCACAGCGGGTTGTCACGTGTCTTCACTGACGGTCTTGATCTAATACCACAGCAGGTTGTCACGTGTCGACTGTGAAGGTCTTGATCTAATACCACAGCAGGTTGTCACGTGTCTTCACTGACGGTCTTGATCTAATACCACAGCAGGTTGTCACGTGTCGACTGTGAAGGTCTTGATCTACTACCACAGCAGGTTGTCACGTGCGTACAGTGAATGTCTTGATCTAATACCACAGCGGGTTGTCACGTGTCTTCACTGACGGTCTTGATCTAATACCACAGCAGGTTGTCACGTGTCGACTGTGAAGGTCTTGATCTAATACCACATCAGGTTGTCACGTGTCTACAGTGAAGGTCTTGATCTAATACCACAACAGGTTGTCACGTGTCGACTGTGAAGGTCTTGATCTAATACCACATCAGGTTGTCACGTGCGTACAGTGAATGTCTTGATCTAATACCACAGCGGGTTGTCACGCGTGTACAATAAAGGTCTTGATCTAATAACACAGCAGGTTGTTACTGAAGGTCTTGATCTAATACCACAGCAGGTTGTCACGTGTCAACAGTGAAGGTCTTGATCTAATACCACAGCAGGTTGTCACGTGCGTACAGTGAATGTCTTGATCTAATACCACAGCGGGTTGTCACGTGTGTACAATAAAGTTCTTCATCTAATACCACAGCAGGTTGTCACCTGTGTACAGTGAAGGGGTTGATCTAATGCCACAGCAGGTTGTCACGTGTCTAAAGTGAAGGTTTTGATATAATACCAGATCAGGTTGTCACGTGTGTACAGTGAAGGTCTTGATCTAATACCACAGCAGGTTGTCACACGTCTACATTGAAGGTCTTGATCTAATACCACAGCCGGTTGTCACGTGACAACTGTGAATGTCTTGATTTAATACCACAGCCGGTTGTCACGTGTCTACAGTGAACGTCTTGATCTAATACCACAGCAGGTTGTCACGTGTCGACTGTGAATGTCTTGATCTAATACCACAGCCGGTTGTCACGTGTCTACAATGAAGGCCTTGATCTAATACCACAGCAGGTTGTCACTTGTCCACAGTGAAGGTCTTGATCTTAAACCACAGCAGGTTGTCATCTGTCTACAGTGAAGGTCTTGATCTAATACCACAGCAGGTTGTCACTTGTGTACAGTGAAGGTCTTGATCTTATACCACAGCAGGTTGTCATCTGTCTACAGTGAAGGTCTTGATCTAATACCACAGCAGGTTGTCACGGGTCTGCAGAGAAGGTCTTGATCTAACACCACATAAGGTTGTTACGTGTCGACTGTGGAGGTCTTGATCTAATACCACAACAGGTTGTCACGTGTGTACAGTGAAGGTCTTGATCTAATACCACATCAGGTTGTCACGTGTGTAGAGTGAAGGTCTTGATCTAATGCCACAGCAGGTTGTCACGTGTCTACAGTGACGGTCTTGATCTAATACCACAGCAGGTTGTCACGTGTCTACAGTGAAGGTCTTGATCTAATACCACAGCAGGTTGTCACGTGTCTACAATAAAGGTCTTGATCTAATACCACAGCGGTTTGTCACGTGTGTACAGTAAAGGTCTTGATCTAATACCACAGCCGGTTCTCACACGTCTACAGTGAAGGTCCTGTACTAATACCACAGCAGGTTGTCACGTGTCTACAATAAAGGTCTTGATCTAATACCACAGCGGGTTGTCACGTGTCTACAGTGAAGGTCTTGATCTAATACCACAGGAGGTTGTTACGTGTCTACAGTGAAGGTCTTGATCTAATACCACAGCGGGTTGCCACGTGTCTACAGTGAAGGTCTTGATCTAATACCACAGCGGGTTGTCACGTGTCTACAGTGAAGGTCTTGATCTAATACCACAGCAGGTTGTCACGTGTCTACAGTGAAGTCTTGATCTTATACCACTGCAGATTGTCACGTGTCTACAGTGAAGGTCTTGATCTAATACCACAGCAGGTTGTCACACGTCTACATTGAAGTTCTTGATCTATTACCACTTCGGATTGTCACGTGTCGACTGTGAAAGTCTTGATCTAATACCACAGCAGGTTGTCACGTGTCTACAGTGAAGGTCTTGATCTAATACCACAGCAGGTTGTCACTGAAGGTCTTGATCTAATACCACAGCAGGTTGTCACGTGTCGACTGTGAAGGTCTTGATCTAATACCACAGCAGGTTGTCACGTTTCGACTGTGAAGGTCTTGATCTAATACCACAGCGGGTTGTCACGTGTCTACAGCGAAGGTCTTGATCTTATACAACAGCAGCTTGTCACGTGTCTACAATAAATATAGAATACTAAACGAGCTCCCGTGTAATACCAATTTTATGAAACGAATGAATAGTTCTGGTATCTTTCGCTCGTCAGATACCAGAACTATTCACGAGTTTCATATAATAGGTTTTACACGGGAGCTCGTTTAGTATTTTATTTATTACTGGCCATTTATAACGTGTTTAGAATTATACTGTTGAGTGTGAATAGGCTGACACCTACACGATCCACGGCATAATCCAATTTAGTTAACACAGTAATACTTCAAACACGTCAAAAGTTGAAACGTATGAATTTAATACCTTACAACGGTCCACCTTTAGAATTCAGGCGTCCGTTCCACAAAATTAGCGTAGCTATCGCAACTCACATACTTTAACTTAGACCAACGACTGTCGTTGCGCTACCGTACGATCGCTTTATGGAACGGGGCCTTGCACCTCAAAGTTGACAATCACGTCACAATACCCGATGACGTAATTTGTGGAATTTTGTTGCAAGATCCTTCGGAGAAACAATGCCATGTGACGTCAGCCTAGCGACAAGGTTGCTAGGGTAATCGAGTGTGCATAAGCTCCTCTCAGTGATCTATCATCTCCACACGCAATGTCGTTGAATAAGCCAAGGGATGTTGAGAGCTTTCAATATTTGTTCGTGAAACGTGTTCCGAGAGTACATAAGCACGCGTTTTGGTATTACACAATGTGTAATACAGCTGTAGGTTTATTAAACGGGTGATCTCTTCACGGGCAAGTAATAAAGGTCTTTATCTAATACCACAGCGGGTTGTCACGTGTGTACAGCGAAGGTCTTGATCTAATACCACAGCGGGTTGTCACGTGTGTACAGTGAAGGTCTTGATCTAATAATAATGCTGTGTGTCATCGTACACCGACGGCGAAGGACGTCGATAATTCGATCAACATCTGTCGAGAAATAGCTTGAATATTGCTGACTAACTCGTTGAGTAGAGTTCTTGTGTCCAGGTGCTACCGGCAGGGGAGGTCGTATGTACCCTTTTCTATAACACCTGCGCCCCGTTCCAAAAAGTGATCTTAGCGCTACAATCATCGTAAATCTATGTTAAAGTAAGGGAGTTACGATCGTCATAGCGCTAAGATCGCTTTGTGGAACGGGACCCTTGGCCCACTTGCACAGAACAATCTTGTTACAATCGATCTTAGGCGGCTACCATTGACTTTACAATCACCATACAATTGTCCCATTCCACTTGCACAAACCGATCTTAACGCGATTGTAAGACGGCTTGGGGTTAAGATCGCGATCTAAGCTAAGATTGAAATCTTCAACGGTGGAGGTACGAATATCTTAAACTCGACTCCTGTCTACAGTTGTCTGCAAACGCGCATAGCTTGCTGCGCATACAATAAGTGGAACCGGTAACGACACGTAACACGTACCTCCCTCCATCGCACTTTGCACAGTTTCAAGAAAGGTCCCAATTATTTGAAGGAAAAGATTACTAGAATGATGGCATATGTTCTTGTCGGCATTAATACTGTCGTGATTTAGGAATTGTTTCTATTGCAACTAGAGAAATACCTACTCGTGTCTTTTATTAAAAGTATTGAAATACGAATAAATTCATTATTTAGTGACACAATTATTATGACATACAAATAAATAATAATGATAATATTTCCTAATAACATAAAACGTTTATGCATGATCGTCATCTATTTGGGGGAGCTTTTCGTAAAATCCTAAATATATCCTTCATGTTTTCATTTCGTTGCTATAACAAAGGATCTTATGACTCCCTTTTCACAACACAGAAAGACGGGAAATTTCAAAAACGCATAGACGGTAAATAAGAATAATGAATACTGTTTCGAGAAAGCAGTTGTTTAAAATGTATTCACTGGGTATTAATTTTTTTATATATAAAAGTGTGAATTTTACTTTTGCTATTTATGGGACATTTTACACAAATTTCAAATGTCATTATGTGTATTTGCATGTGTGTATTTTTTCTTTTAAACTCAGATTTTAACCGCTCGTCCCCGCCCCACTCGATTTTAGATTTCAGCATGTATCAGGGTTAAAAACTATAAGTTTTTGTCCACTAGTCCTTATAATGATAACACATAGCAAAACCCTTAAAATTGGCCAATTTCTACTACTTTTGGGCAGTTTGGTAAGGACTACAGGACTAGGGCCAATTTCTAACGCTGATGTATGATTTTGCTCTTCAACTTGTATTTATTTGTAGATTAATTTCATGATAAACTAAAGACAAAATAACTGACACGAATGTGACCCAAATGAAATATAGCGGGAGCTCAGCGATTCAACAACATTAATACACTGGCATGGGTAAGGTAGATTGTACTCTACGGGCTTATACAAAGGGAAACCACTCCCATCTAGAGTATAAACTAAGATTAGCTGCCCTTGATTTATCCAAGAGGTTACGGTCGCTTGCGGACGACTTAGGTTTTTATCCTTCCCATGTTCAGCGAAAAGGTATGTTGTTTCACACTTCTTTCAGCATTTAGTCGGATTGGAATATTCCTTTCAGCTATCGACTCGATAGTTATATGGTTAACTATTGCAATTAACGATATTTCTGACGTTGAATCTGTGGTGCGTTTTTCATGTTGTTAAAGTGTCGATTCGAATCATAAAGTTCAAAATCAAAATAAGGAGGCAATGTTTGAATGTAAAGCAGATTATTTATTTGAAACAGACCAAGCCTTGCACGCTATTTTGTCAAGTTTATTCAGGGCTTACAACGATCTTAGCTACTTCAGATTGGTCCGGACCAATTGTAAGTTTCGATTGTAGCTTACAATGATCTTAGCCTACAATCGCTTTGTGCAAGTGGATGACGATTGTAGCCGAAGCCCAAGATCGCGATCTTAAGGATTTACAATTATTGTAGTGCTAAGATCGCTTTGTGCAAGTGGACCCTGGTGTCAACACTGATTTTCAGAGATCTATTCATATAATTTTCATTGCTATTTTGCCTTTGAATCTGTTTCGACGGATAATCGGGACTGTTTATTCTGTGGCCTTGACGTTTTATATTCGATGGTTTTGTAAACGACCAGACCGATGACCTTTCGATAAAGTTTATTGTGTGACAGTTAAATGAACCTTGTGGCGAAATAAACGTCAGATTCCAGGTTATTTGTAAGCTGCAGTGAAGGGGTAGTGTATCCTGTATTGAAAACAGTATCAAGAATCGGGATGGGTCAACGTGGCGCTGCGTCATTGTACATTACGTCAACAGTGTTGTCTCTATTACGACATCAATGCTTTGCGCGTGGAATCATGTTTCCTATTGTGGATTTTTAACAACTCGAATATTTTGAACAATATGCATAATAAACTCAAACAATGATAGTTTAAGACCTTTGCGTCTTTAACTCGGAAACAATATTCAACGTGCTTAAATCTTGTCAGTATGGAACGACACAACTGTCTTTGACAATGAAACTGTTGTAGGGAGTCCGCATAGATAGATAGTTGAAACTAGAATGCATCAACCTTGACCGAATCGTAATCTATCAGTAGTATAACTGATACACAACTATTTACAGACCGTCATCCAATTTACTGAGCCCAATTACACGATCCGACCAGCATAGGTTCCTAGGGAACCCCCCCCCCCCCCCCCTCTCTCTCTCCATCAATCAATCTCTCTGTGAAATGTGCATGCGAAGCACACATTTCCACAGCATGCATTATACTGTAGTTACATATTACAGACAGGCTAACCCACACAATAAATAAACTACTTAGAAATATATTTAAGAGAGCGCCAGGATTGTCCTGATAAGATAAGTGTTTATTTATCAGCACTTCCTGGTTGGGACGTTGTTATGTAGATGGTTGCCAAGGGCCGCATGTCCAATGTCGTATGCAGGAAAGCAACCTTCCATACAAGGTGCTCAAAATGTTTTCCTCTGCGTTTAAGCTGTAAATTTCGAAGATACGACTCAGATTAATAATTAATCAACCAAATCAACAGACCATGGCAATACAACAAATATTAATTTTTTTTTTTAATATACACTAAAGAAAATATTGGCTATCTTGGAAATATGAGTAGGAAAATTATTTACGTTTGTAGTAATGTATTTACTTTCACAATTTAAAATAATGTAAGAAATGCACAAACATATCTATTTATATACGTACACCTCAGTTTGTTATGGTGTCAGTGAGCTAGCACTATAAATCGGCATCAGTCCAGACTAGTACAAGCAGCCACACAAACACACACACGTACATGCACGTCGCTATATAAGTGTAATAATCTTGGACGCGACGTTAAACCCAATTTCACCTCACCTCACTTACTGTGATTTAGATCTAGTTTCCGCAGTTTAATATCAATTATAGTCAATAAAACAATTAATAAACACACTTGGCCTTTGGCGATCTCAGACTGTACAGCAGTAGGTGGATCAAGAGGTCACAATAACCTAGAACACACGATAATACATCCTACCATGGCTCACGCAGTATCAGAGACGCGTCACAGTATTTTAAATGACGTCGCAAATTAATTCGCGGAATATTATTGCCTAGTACTAATAACATCTCCGCTGTTACATGATTGCGTCCAAATATGTTACCCATGAATGTGAACAGATATAAACTAAATCAAATTTAAAAAAAGAAATGTCAATCTGTGGAAATGTAATGTGAGTGTGTGAGTGTTGCGTCGACAACGTTACCGCCTTATACTGACTACCACAATCTACCACAGTGGTGTTTGTTTGTTATTTAACGCCGCGTTCAGCAATATTCTACCTGTTTACAAATAATCGAATCTGGACCAGACAATCCCGTTAGCCGCCTCCTTCGACAAGCATGGATTGCTGAAGATCAATTCTAACCCGGATCTTCACAGGGCATGTAATAACGACATGTGATATACACACACATATTACACACATGCATATGTCGACATGTATTCGACACATGTGCATCGAGTCGGAATGTTAGGGATACATATAGGTTGGTGAGGTGAAATGTGGTTTACCGTCGCGTCCAAGATTATTGCGACGTGCATGTGTGTTTGTGTGGCTGCTTGTACTGGTCAGGACTGATGCCGATTTATAGTGCTAGCTCACTGAGATACCATGCCGCAGTTTAACGTGAATACCCCACTCAGACACAGTATACTGACTCCGAGCCGACCAGTCCTTGTTTTAGCCCCTTAATGCCGAGCGCCAGGCAGTTTAACAACAAGTACCATCTTTTAACGTCTTTTGGTATGACGCGGCCGGGGATCGAACCCCGGACCTTCCGCACTCAGGGCAGACGCTCTACCACTAGACCACGGAGGCGGTCTGTCATATAACAATCTTCTAACAGGTATGGTTGGTCATTGGTTGACTAGCTAGCTGATTACCAAACCCTGGGTCGTTGCTGAACTGTAACGTGTTCCTTTGAACTTACACAATTCATGGATCACCGACCGAACATTTTCCTTTGCTTAACTCACCAACCGCCACCCCCAACCACAACCCCCACTCCCACCTCCTTCCCCTACTCATGTTTCCCAGAATCCGAGACCCCGTTTCTTGGTAAAGGAGATTATCATGATAACACCTACAGGCCGTCAGGTTGAAATATATTCAGTATTTGTCAATGGATCAGAATATCATCAATACAAATCAGTTCAAAGATGAGACACCACTATTCAGGCCTTCTTGTACGGGTCGATTTCGAAATTAGAATTGACATGTATTGTTCAATCTTCCATAACTCAATATCTACTCAATGTTTTGTGCTTCCGGGTTCTACAGGTCAGTAGTCAGTGACATGACGTTTATCTCGGGGTGTAGTGTAGTGTTGTGTTGTGGCAACTCGGACTGGGTGCAACAGGCCAATCACTGCACATAAGTAGTAGATAGACACTCATAGTACTGTCACTTATCATACACAAACCTCGAGCCATATCCTGAATTCACTCGGCAACACATAAGGCATATGGGTGGAGGTGTTTGAGGTATGTATCTTTCCGAGTATCGCGTTATGAATTTGTATGTGCACAATTATAAAAATATGAAAAAGTGAAAATCATCACTTTTAATATTAATTCAGTGAACCTCCCGACAATGGATTCAGGCATTGTGTTTTTATGATTGAGTTTAGACTTTGACATTATATGTTGTAAATCAGATTTCCGTAATGAGTGAGTGAGTGAGTGAGTATGGTTTAACGCCGCTTTTAGCAATATTCCAGCAATATCACGACGGGGGACACCAGAAATGGGCTTCACACATTGTACCCATGTCGGGAATCGAACCCACGTCTTCGGCGTGACGAGCGAACGCTTTAAAAACTAGGCTACTCGACCGCCCCTTTTCCGTTATTAAATTATAAAAAAGTAAAAACATAAGTCAGGCTGAGTTGAAACTTTGACATTGTACATGTTGTAAATCAGATTATTGTATTTCCTTAATGGAGCTCGAGATGTGTCGGAGAAGCGTTAGCATCTGCGAGCCTGTTTCAACCAGAAAAAAACCATATCGACACATAAATAATACTCAATATGTCGTAGTATAATATTCCATAAATGCTTTATGATTGTCATAGTAATAACATTTTCATGTTTATTTTTCTGCAAACTCAACTCGACCCAGATATGGCGCTACCTGTTTTCGTCACTGTAATTTAACAAGCAGATTATAATTGTGGTTAAGCTGCATTAGGTCGACTTTCCCTCTAGTGTTCATAACACGTTAATGAGCCTGCATGTCACGGACGTGGTTTCCTTAATACGGTAACACTACCTTCCCGCAGAGTTTTCCTACTGAAATCATGTCATAAATATCCTTGTCTACACTAGACACTTGACGATGAGGAAATGTAACTTCATTATTGTCCATAAGCGTGTTCTTAAAGAGGTACCTCGCGTTGGTTATTTGACAGTCCCAGCAAGTTTCGACCGCCTCCGTGGTCTAATGGTAGAGCGTCCGCCCGGAGAGGGGAAGGTCCGGGGTTCGATCCCCAGCCGCGTCATACCAAAAGACGTTAAAAGATGGTACTTGTTGTTACCCTGTCTGGCGCTCGGCATTAAGGGGCTAAAACAAGGACTGGTCGGCTCGGAGTCAGTATACTGTGTCTGAGCGGGGTATTCATGTTAAACTGCGGCATGGTATCTCAGTGTGCTAGCACTATGAATCGGCATCAGTCCGGATTAGTACAAGCAGCCACACACACATACACGTGCATGCACGTCGCTATATAAGTGTCATAATCTTGGACGCGACGTTAAACCCCATTTCACCTCACCTCACCCAGCAAGTTTCATTCACGTCACCAGCAAAACATTGTGTAGATCGACTGACTGAAATGTAAGGTGTTATCAGTTTATCATTTGACGGTTTTCGTTGATTACACAGACGCAATACATGTCCGACTCCAGTAGCACATTACACAGGAGAAAACTCATCACAGGGCATTTGTTTGTTTGTTTGTTTGTTTGTTTAGCAATATATCAGCTATGTGACGGCAGACAAACCAGTGATGCATATCATGAACGAGGTCCCATGTCGTCGGTGACTATTGTCACGTAATGGCTGGGTTACCAGTCCTGACAACCAGATCCCTTTAGACGCCTCACACAACAAACATACGATGTGGGGGGCTTTTGTTTACGGACCCCACACGAAGAAAAAATGTTAATCCCAAAGAAATGGATTATGCATTATTATACGAGGATGAAGGTTAACGTTATAAGGAGCTTTAGCTTGAAATTCGGAAGTCATTTGTGATGTGTGTGTGGCTTTTTATAATAGTCCGGACTTATGTCGATTCTTATTGCTAACCCACTGTGATACCATGTCGTAATTTAACATGAATACCAAACTCAGACCTTGCAATGACTCCGAGCCGAGGCAGGGTAGCAGCAAGTGTTATCTTTTAACGTAGTTTGGTATGACGCGGCCTGAGGATTGATACATGGACTTTCCCACAATTCTAGGCTTGACAGTATCCAGGTAATTGCCACTCGCGGTCTGTGTCTCTTGTTTCGTGTTTTTCTTGTGTATGTATGTATCGACAACAAACAACCCGAGGTCACCTTGCTGCTCAGCTGTACTGACTGTAGGGTGTTGAGTGCCCTCCTGACTGTAGGGTGTGGATGGTGATTCAGCTGGCTGTACTGACTGTAGGGTGTTGATAGTGATTCAGATGGCTGTACTGACTGTAGGGTGTTGATGGTGTCTCAGATGGCTGTACTGACTGTAGGGTGTTGATGGTGTCTAAGATGGCTGTACTGACTGTAGGGTGTTGATGGTGTCTCAGATGGCTGTACTGACTGTAGGGTGTGGATGGTGTTTCAGATGGCTGTACTGACTGTAGGGTGTGGATGGTGTTTCAGATGGCTGTACTGACTGTAGGGTGTGGATGGTGGCCCAGATGGCTGTACTGACTGTAGGGTGTGGATGGTGATTCAGCTGACTGTTCTGACTGTAGGGTGTTGATGGCGATTCAGCTGACTGTACTGAATGTAGGGTGTGGATGGTGTCTCAGATGGCTGTACTGACTGTAGGGTGTGGATGTGTTGCAGATGACTGTACTGACTGTAGGGTGTGGATGGTGTTTTAGATGGCTGTACTAACAGTAGGGTTTGGATGGTGTTTTAGATGGCTGTACTGGATGTAGGCTGTGGATGGTGTCTCAGATGGCTGTACTGACTGTAGGGTGTGGATGTGTTGCAGATGACTGTACTGACTGTAGGGTGTGGATGGTGTTTTAGATGGCTGTACTAACAGTAGGGTTTGGAAGGTGTTTTAGATGGCTGTACTGGATGTAGGCTGTGGATGGTGTCTCAGATGGCTGTACTGACTGTAGGGTGTGGATGTGTTGCAGATGACTGTACTGACTGTAGGGTGTGGATGGTGTTTTAGATGGCTGTACTAACAGTAGGGTTTGGAAGGTGTTTTAGATGGCTGTACTGGATGTAGGCTGTGGATGGTGTCTCAGATGGCTGTACTGACTGTAGGGTGCGGATGGTGATTCAGCTGGCTGTTCTGACTGTAGGGTGTGGATGGTGATTCAGCTGGCTATAGAGACTGTAGGGTGTGGATGGTGATTCAGCTGACTGTACTGACTGTAGGGTGTGGATGGTGATTCAGCTGACTGTACTGACTGCAGGGTGTGGATGGTGATTCAGCTGACTGTACTGACTGCAGGGTGTGGATGGTGTTTCAGCTGACTGTTCTGACTGTAGGGTGTGGATGGTGTTTCAGATGGCTGTACTGACTGTAGGGTGTGGATGGTGATTCAGCTGGCTGTACTGACTGTAGGGTGTGGATGGTGTTTCAGCTGACTGTTCTGACTGTAGGGTGTGGATGGTGATTCAGATGGCTGTACTGACTGTAGGGTGTGGATGGTGATTCAGCTGGCTGTACTGACTGTAGGGTGTGGATGGTGATTCAGCTGACTTTACTGACTGTAGGGTGTGGATGGTGATTCAGCTGACTCTACTGGATGTAGGCTGTGGATGGTGTCTAAGATGGCTGTACTGACTGTAGGGTGTGGATGGTGATTCAGCTGGCTGTACTGACTGTAGGGTGTTGATGGTGTCTAAGATGGCTGTACTGACTGTAGGGTGTTGATGGTGTCTCAGATGGCTGTACTGACTGTAGGGTGTGGATGGTGTTTCAGATGGCTGTACTGACTGTAGGGTGTGGATGGTGTTTCAGATGGCTGTACTGACTGTAGGGTGTGGATCGTGGCCCAGATGGCTGTACTGACTGTAGGGTGTGGATGTGTTGCAGATGACTGTACTGACTGTAGGGTGTGGATGGTGTTTTAGATGGCTGTACTAACAGTAGGGTTTGGATGGTGTTTTAGATGGCTGTACTGGATGTAGGCTGTGGATGGTGTCTCAGATGGCTGTACTGACTGTAGGGTGTGGATGTGTTGCAGATGACTGTACTGACTGTAGGGTGTGGATGGTGTTTTAGATGGCTGTACTAACAGTAGGGTTTGGATGGTGTTTTAGATGGCTGTACTGGATGTAGGCTGTGGATGGTGTCTCAGATGGCTGTACTGACTGTAGGGTGTGGATGGTGATTCAGCTGGCTGTTCTGACTGTAGGGTGTGGATGGTGATTCAGCTGGCTATAGAGACTGTAGGGTGTGGATGGTGATTCAGCTGACTGTACTGACTGTAGGGTGTGGATGGTGATTAAGCTGACTGTACTGACTGTAGGGTGTGGATGGTGATTCAGCTGACTGTACTGACTGCAGGGTGTGGATGGTGTTTCAGCTGACTGTTCTGACTGTAGGGTGTGGATGGTGATTCAGATGGCTGTACTGACTGTAGGGTGTGGATGGTGATTCAGCTGGCTGTACTGACTGTAGGGTGTGGATGGTGTTTCAGCTGACTGTTCTGACTGTAGGGTGTGGATGGTGATTCAGATGGCTGTACAGACTGTAGGGTGTGGATGGTGATTCAGCTGGCTGTACTGACTGTAGGGTGTGGATGGTGTTTCAGCTGACTGTTCTGACTGTAGGGTGTGGATGGTGATTCAGATGGCTGTACTGACTGTAGGGTGTGGATGGTGATTCAGCTGGCTATAGAGACTGTAGGGTGTGGATGGTGATTCAGCTGCCTGTACTGACTGCAGGGTGTGGATGGTGATTCAGATGGCTGTACTGAATGTAGGGTGTGGATGGTGATTCAGATGGCTGTACTGACTGTAGGGTGTGGATGGTGATTCAGATGGCTGTACTGACTGTAGGGTGTGGATGGTGTTTCAGCTGACTGTACCGACTGTAGGGTGTGGATGGTGATTCAGCTGGCTATAGAGACTGTAGGGTGTGGATGGTGATTCAGATGGCTGTACTGACTGTAGGGTGTGGATGGTGATTCAGATGGCTGTACTGACTGTAGGGTGTGGATGGTGATTCAGATGGCTGTACTGACTGTAGGGTGTGGATGGTGTTTCAGCTGACTGTACCGACTGTAGGGTGTGGATGGTGATTCAGCTGGCTATAGATACTGTAGGGTGTGGATGGTGATTCAGCTGGCTCTACTGACTGTAGGGTGTGGATGGTGTTTTAGGTGGCTTTACAGACTGTAGGATGTGGATGGTGATTCAGCTGGCTATAGAGACTGTAGGGTGTGGATGGTGTTTCAGCTGACTGTACCGACTGTAGGGTGTGGATGGTGTTTCAGCTGGCTGTACTGTTTGCAGTGTGTGGATGGTGATTGAGCTGGCTGTACTGACTGTAGGGTGTGGATGGTGTTTCAGCTGGCTGTACTGACTGCAGGGTGTGGATGGTGATTCAGATGGCTGTACTGACTGTAGGGTGTGGATGCGGTCTTAGATGGCTGTACTGACTGACCGAAGGGTGTGGATGGTGTCTTAGATGGTTGTACTGACTGACCGTAGGGTGTTGATGGTGTCTCTGATGGCTGTACTGACCGTAGGGTGTGGATGGTGTCTCAGATGGCTGTACTGACTGTAGGGTGTGGATGGTGTCTCTGATGGCTGTAATGACCGTAGGGTATTGATGGTGTCTCAGATGGCTCTACAGACTGCAGGGTGTTGTTTGGTAATCGCTTGGTTGCACACATTTGTTATCACACGATTCAGAAATTATCTCTCGACTATAACAGCCATAAATTCTTTGTTTCAGGTTTCATTATGGGATGCATAAAGTCGAAACAAGTCGGCGTGGAAGAACAAAGCCCCGGCCGAGCAGAACCAACCCCCGCCCGAACAGATCCAACACGCAACGACCCCAACCCTCCACTGAAGCCCCCTAAAAAGAAGAAGAGTGATGCGGTGCCTTCTCCGGAAGCGTTTGCTGCTATTGATGCGCATGCGTTGAAGGTGAGAAAAGGCGGAGGATGCGTTTAAGTGACTATATTCGTGAAAGATACCGGTCAGTGTACCGTTTCTCTGTTGAATGAGAATCAAATATATACCCCTTGAAAATGTAGGGGGTCTGCAAGAATGTTTATGTCTGCAACACGTAACACCAAAACACATCCCATAGTTTGCACGTGCCTCACGCAGTAGCGCCACACACATGCGTTGGGTGTCATTCCTGATTTTGACAATTTCAAGGAAGATCGATCAATCTCTGTGGACCATTATTTATGTCAATCGTATTGATTCTGCTTATCACACAGTTACGATTTACTTGACTCAATTCATTGTTTGTGAGAGGGGGGCCAGGTGGCCCATTCGTCAAAGGCGCCGCGATTCGCTGTACAGAGTTACGTCCCTTGGGCACGCCAGAAACCTATGATTGTGGGTTCGAACCCCGGTTCGCCCCGATTATGTTTCTAGGTTTGTCAGCACCATACCCGTGCTCGTGGGTTTCACCGAAAACGTTTGTTATATATATATATATATATGGTAAACGTCTGAGACCTGTATGACTTCGGGCTTTCCTCCCACATTAGGCTAACACGCCGTGATATAACTGGAATACTGTTAAAAGCAGCGTTAAATCCAACTCACTCACTCACTCACTCGCCTATCAGTTCTGTCTAGAAACTTATATACATTCTGGCAGCAGCGACTATTACGTATGACGTACTTTCAGGGGACAAACAGGTTACAGGGTCGGCCTGCAGGGTTTAACACGACTTTTAACAATATTTCAACTGTATCATTATTGGCGGAGTGAGCTTAAAGTGATAGATAACGGATCGTGATTATTACGATTCTTGGATTCGAACTCAGAACAAGCAGATACTGGCAAGTAAGTTTGTCCTGTCGATATCCATTTCCGGAACCTTTAACCACTGAGTCACAACAACTGGTAACCTTTGCCTGTGACATCCGGTTTAAACAACGGACACTCCCCAAACCGTAGAATCAAGTTCCTGATAATTGAATAACTATAATTACAGTGAAACCGTTAGAACGGACCGTTTGTCCATGAAGCCCGCTTTCAGGGGATTACTGAAATAAACGTCTTCATTCATGCATAAATCTGGAAATCGGGTTTATCTGTTGACGGTAACGGTACTGTGCGGGGTAACTGTCTGTTCTTGTTTTTGCACTTTGTCTAGGCTCCGGCCAGTGCTCGCTCATCCGTGACCTCCCTAGCACAGTACCTGGTAAAGCCAGCCCGGAATGACATGGAGAAAATCCGGGCCTTCTACAGATGGCTTGGTGACAATATCAGGTGTGTTCGGTACAGGTTTCTTGTGTGTAGTGGTTGTTTGTTTGTTTGTTGTAAAACTCCGTACTCAGCAATACTCCAGCTTTATGACGGTTGTCTGTAACTAACCGAGTCTACACAAGATATATCAGTAATTGACATCACAAGCATTGATCTATGCAATTGTTATACGATGTCATGCATCAACCAAGTCAGCGAGCCCCATCCGATTCTGTCAGTGGCCTCTTACGACAAGCATGGGTTGCTGAAGCCCAATTCTTATCCGGATCTTCATGTGGGCGATCCATTATGTCGTATGGTACAACAAGAACAGGATCTATTCTAACCAGGAATCCAAAAGGTGCTGTATGTTATTCAAATATATCTTATTACTTTCATTACAATCCGCTGAGATCCGGGGTACAATAGATCTTCAGCAACCCATGCTTGCCGTAAAAGGCGACTTGCTTATCGTAAGACGCCACTGACTGGATCGGGTGGTCAGGCTCGCTGACATGCCTGATGCATGTCATCGTATCCCAATTGCTTGGATCGATGCTCATGATGTCAGTCATTGGATTGGCTTGTCCGGACTCGATTATTTACTGAACGTCGCCATAAAGCTGGAATATTGTTGAGAGCATCATTAAACAACAAACAAACAAACTTCCATTACAACTTCTAATCGTTTTCTACATGTCTTAAAGCCCCCCTTACACAAGACTGCGACCTTTGTGTCACCTTTGAGTGATCAAAAACTGGCCAGGACGCTCAATGGTCGCCTGTACCCAGAAAATCATGTATTTATGTAACTGCTCCAGCAGTTGTTCAGCAGTAACTGCTCGAGTTGTTCAGCGTCTGCAACCACAGTGAAACAATGCAGGTACAAACCCTCTATTTATAGGCAGACTGTGGAGGCATTACCGGTAGCTCAAAGGCGGCAGAAAAGAGGCAGAAGCATTGCCATGGTGTCTCAAGGGTTGCCGTGGTCGCCGAATGGAGGCACAGCGGTCGACACCTCCCGTGTACCACCTTGGAACGACCTAGGCAACCATTCTGCCTCGTTTGAGCCTCCAACGACGACCTGACAAATTTTATGGTCGCACACGGGAGGCACAAAGGTCGCCATCCTGTGTAAAGGCCCCATTAGGTATGCGGGGAAAATGGCATGTACAATTCGTCCTTTATTATCTCATGTGCTTATTTCTTTGACAGTTACGACGCATCCAGGTTCTTTAGTGGCAACAGTGGCTCTCAGGACCCCGATGCAGTGCTGAAGCGTGGATCTAGTGTCTGCGAGGGATATGCCAGACTCTTTCAATCTCTCTGCGAGTAGGTCATGCTCAGGACATAAACATACTGCCTTTTTTAATTATAATATAAGTTAACTGTAGCGACCCTTAACTAGATGTGAAACAAAAATTTCAAATGTTCTCAATTGCAGTATGACAAAGTAAAATATTTTGAGTAAAGCAAAATTTGCTGAGACCGACCAGTGAAGACCCGGTAAGAGAATAGGTCTTCAGCAACCCATGCTCGCCGTAAAAGGCAACTATGCTTGTCGTAAGAGGCGACTAACGGGATCGGGTGGTCAGACTTGCTGACTTGTTTGATGTTGGCCATCGTATCCCAATTGGGATCGATGCTCAAGATCACTCGATTGTCTTGACTAGATTATATGCAGACCGCCGTCATATAGGTGGAACAATGCTGAGTGCGTCGTTCAATAACAAAAAAAAAAAAAAATGTGTTGAGTCCAATGTTTGAGTTGGTAGGTGTTCTGAAGTGAGTACAAATCGATAAGAGCCGTTACTGAAAGTATCACGTTGTGTAAGCTCAAACAGAAGGGCATGACAGACAGGCATTGAAAGTCTATCATACCTACATCGTAAGCCATAAGTAGGGCACGCATAAAGGATATTATATACAAACCTTGCAAGGATAGATTAGTTCTGCACTACACGTCGCTGTTATGACGTGGCACCGCTGAATGTGTCAACAGAATATAGACAAGCGCCAAAATTGTAATGTCAAAAAAGAGCTTGCAGCACAAGTTATGACGAGCACACAAAAGATATAATTGACTATTTCTTCTTTTGAAATAAAATACGATTTTCAGAACATGTGTTAACACACCATATCAAAGCATGTGTTATAAAAATCCCGTGAAGATCCGAGGTAGAATAGGTCTTCAGCAACCCGTGCTTATCATAAACTATACGGAATAACGGTTTTATGTTTACCTTTATCGTTACAGCGAATGCAAGATACCTTGCAAAAAGGTCTCTGGTTTCGCCAAAGGGTTCGGCTACAACCCAGAAAGCCCCTACACACTAAACACGCAAACGAACCATGCGTGGAACGTGGTGTATGTTCAGGGAGAGTGGCGCCATATTGAGTGTACGTGGGGAGCAGGACACCTGAACAACGACCATAAATACGAGAAAGAGTTCGAAGAATTCTATTTCCTCACTGATCCTGAGGATTTTGTCATCAAACATTTTCCATATGCTGACAAGAATTTAGAAGCCAGTATCTCTCTGCAGCTGTTGAAAAAACCGTTATCTCTCGAGGAGTTCAGCAATGCTCTTTCTCCAATGACCAATGGTATCACATGGGGGTTTGAATGTACGAGCCACAAGACTCAAGTGATCACAGTAGACAAGGAATGTGAAATCAGCTTCAAGACGCGAAATGTAAAACTCAGTGGAATATTGTGTCACTTGAAGGAGAAGAACACCCAGCGGGAATACAGCCAGTATGTCCTCTTAAGGAAACAAGGAGACAAGTATACAGTGAGAGTTACTCCACCTGCCGAAGGCAAATACAACCTGGGGATCTTTGGCAAGCCAGAATCGTCATCAGGTACTACACACCACTCACTCATCACCTTTGTTTTACAGTGTCAGTCTGTTGCCAAAGATCTGCGTCCATACCCTAAGAAGCAGGGATCCTGGGGTGCAAGTCAAAACGCCATTCAATATGGCTTCACCAGCGACATATTGGGAAAGGATGTTGTGACTACATCGACTGGCGAAGTCGAGCTCAGGATCAAGACGTCAAAGCTTGTCCCCATCTCACTGCGTCTTGAACAAGCAGACTCTACTCAAACTGATCTGGATCGATACGTATTTGGCTTTTATGAGGGCAATACACTTGTTCTTAAAGCAAGAGTACCCAGTGTTGGCTTTTATAAGTTTACACTTTTTGGAAAACATCCCGAGAACTCAGAGTCATCTTCGTTTGACCATGTTGCTGACTTTTTGATTGAAAGCAAAAAAGCTGTAAGCAATGTTCTCCCTTTCCCCGGTGCTTACACTGCTGCTCAGAAATATGGCTGCCATCTGCATGAGCCTCTCTCTGGGGATCTTCCAGCCAATCAGGATGTCCGACTTAAACTAAGCTCAGATAGTTTAACTAAGTTAATGGTCAACAAACAAGTGAAGGAGAAGGAAGGTAAAGAGTTCAACTTTACCTTTAAAACGCCGTCAAAGGGAGAAGAGTTAAGTGTGTATGGTACCTCTGGCGATAGTTCTAGCTTTGATGGCCTGTACACGTACAGAATTGTGTGACTCTGAATTTACTCAAAGGTATATTTCAACAAAGACATCGAACTAGCTTAACGCTGACAGCCTTGACCGTTTGATGAGGTTAAGAAGCAGGTTAGGTCTCCGATCACTTCCTGCAGTAGAAAAGAAAACACCGGATTTGTGTTTGTTTTTATATTTACTTCCGGTAGTTATTAAAATATATCAACAGAGAATATACTTATTGAATATTACAGACAGTCCGTCCAGATGTTTGATGCACATTCATGTATTTACTGCAAACTGACATATGTTCCGTTGGTGTGGAGGTCCATCTAGCAGAGGAGTCCACCATACGACTCAACCATAATCATGGGAGGGGCGGTAGAGTAGCCTAGTGGTTAAAGCGCTGGCTCGTCACGCCGAAGATCCGGGTTCGATTCCCCATATGGGTACGATGTGTGAAGCCATTTTACGGTGTCCCTCGCCGTGATATTGCTGGAATATTGCTAAAAGGGCAGCAAAACCATACAAACTCGCTCACCCACTAATCATATGTATATTATCAACTATCGCTTTTTCGACTCATCGACCTTTATTATAGGGTATGGTGTTGAAATGAAATCTTATTCCCGTTTATATGAACACATCAAAACACGATTTCTTTAAGTTTTGTTCGTTTCTGAAATTTGGTAGGTCTTGAGGACCTTCTTGATCCCCTTCATACCATGTCCACTTTCAATAAGACGGAATATTTAGCATGATCATGAAACGATTACTATATGTCATCACTATGGGTAAGTTGAATTTGTCAGTGTCATGCATGACGTTACAATAAACGATAATTGATAAAATGGTTTCAGAGTTGTGTCAATCCTTGTATTCGTTTAACTAACTAGGGATATTGCTTAAAAACAGTAAATCTGTTTATAGTTTATGAAATTGCAGGCCATTATTTGATATACAATTAGTGTTACATCAGGTTAGTGTTAGTGTTAAGGGTTAACTATAAGGGTTAGTTATATTTCTTGACAGAGCATATTTTGTTGCTTCTTATTTCACGCCACACTAGAAAGAGGTCGTTATCATGGCGCAAGAAAGGTGTCCCTCAAAGGATGCCAGAAGGGGATTTCGCACGGGGTGCAAGAGAGGGGTCACACAGAGGGTGCAAAGAGAGGTGTCACTAAGAGGGTGCAAGAGAGGGGTATCCAACAGGCTGCAAATGAAGGGTCTCCCACAGGGTGCAAGAGAAGTGTCTCTCACAGGGTGCAAGAGGGGTTCCCAGGGTGCAAAAGAGGTGTCTCCCACATGGTGCAAAAGTGGTGTCTCCAACAGGGTGCAAGAGAGGTGTTACTCAGAGTGTGAAAGAGAGGTGTCACTCACAGAGGGTTAGAGAGCAGTCACTCACAGGGCGCAAGAGACGGGTCCTTCAAAGAGTGCCATTATTTGATATACAGTAGGGGTTACGAAAGGTTCGTATCCGGGTTAAGGGTTAAGAGAAGGGTCCCTCAAAGGATGCCAGAGGGGGGTTTCGCACGGGGTGCAAATAGAGGGGTCAAACAAAGGATAAAAGAGAGGTGTCACTCACAGGATGCAAGAGCGGTGTCGCAACAGGGTGCAAAAGATGTGTCGCCTACAGGGTGCAAGAGAGTTGTCTACCACAGGGTGCAAGAGAAGTGTCTCTCACAGGGTGCTAGACAAGTGTCTCCCACAGGAGTGCAAGAGAGGGGTCCAACAAAGGGTGAAAGAGAGGTGTCTCTCACAGGATGCAAGAGCGGTGTCGCACACAGGGTACAAAATACAAATATGTGTCGCCAACAGGGTGCAAGAGAGGTGTCTATCACAGGGTGCAAGAGAGGTGTTACTCACAGGGAGCAAAAGAAGTGTCTCCCACAGGGTGCTAGACAAGTGTCTCCCACAGGGTGCAAGAGAAGTGTCTCCTACAGGGTGCTAGACAAGTGTCTCCCACAGGGTGCAAGAGAAGTGTCTCCTACAGGGTGCTAGACACGTGTCTACCACAGGGTGCAAGAGAGGTGTTACTCACAGGGTGCAAGAGAAGTGTCTCCCACAGGGTGCTAGACAAGTGTCTCCCACAGGGTGCAAGAGAAGTGTCTCCTACAGGGTGCTAGACACGTGTCTACCGCAGGGTACAAGAGAGGTGTTACTCACAGGGTGCAAGAGAAGTGTCTCCCACTGGGTGCTAGACAAGTGTCTCCCACAGGGTGCAAGAGAAGTGTCTCCTACAGGGTGCTAGACACGTGTCTACCACAGGGTGCAAGAGAGGTGTTACTCACAGGGTGCAAGAGAAGTGTCTCCTACAGGGTGCTAGACAAGTGTCTCCCACAGGGTGCAAGAGAAGTGTCTCCTACAGGGTGCTAGACACGTGTCTACCACAGGGTGCAAGAGAGGTGTTACTCACAGGGTGCAAGCGAAGTGTCTCCCACAGGGTGCTAGACAAGTGTCTCCCACAGGGTGCAAGAGAAGTGTCTCCTACAGGGTGCTAGACACGTGTCTACCGCAGGGTACAAGAGAGGTGTAACTCACAGGGTGCAAGAGAAGTGTCTCCCACAGGGTGCTAGACAAGTGTCTCCCACAGGGTGCAAGAGAAGTGTCTCCTACAGGGTGCTAGACACGTGTCTACCACAGGGTGCAAGAGAGGTGTTACTCACAGGGTGCAAGAGAAGTGTCTCCCACAGGGTGCTAGACAAGTGTCTCCCACATGGTATAGGAGAAGTGACTCCCACAGGTTGCAAGAGAAGTGTCCCCCATAGGGTGCAAGGGAGGTGTCGTTATCATGGTGAAAGATAGGGGTCTCGCATGGGTTGCAAGAGAAGTGTCTCCCATAGGGTGCAAGAGAGGTGCAATAGATATTTTAGCATTTCATTATCCCATTCTTTTTAGAAATTCGAAAAGTTTACACTAACCAATCAGTAACAGTATGTATAATGATCTATGCAGCAACCTTTTCACGATAAAAATCCTGCTCACCATAATTAAACACATTAATTAAATAATTTCTGTGGAATTTTCAGAATAATGCATGATATATTCCATGCCCCATGTACAAACACTTTCGTCAGGATACCCATGATAATCTTAAAATTGCACGCGCATAAATTCCCAAGGAATTGTTGTAAAGTCAGTCTTTGTTTATTTATTATTTCCAACATGTTACATAGTAGTCAGTGACGAACAGGAACTTTACTCCGCCAGTATGTAAGTTCTGAAGACCACTGACAACCCCATTAAACATTGGGGGCACGGATCGCCCAGTCGTGTGAGGCGCCGCGATTCGCTGTGCAGAGTTGCGTCCGTTGGGCAAGATGAAACACTGAACTCCGATGCGACATTTCATTTAGGTTTTAACATGAGGAAAGTGAAGGATCTTTGTCCATTGTACAATTCCGACGATATCATAAGAATGTGCTGATGAATAGTGATGATACCAGATGTTCGCGAAACGTTGAGCGTAGAATGACCCACCGCTAGCACCGTCACAAACACATGCAAAGGCAAGTCTATTGTTCACCTGACACGGAAAGAAAAAATGATTTGTTACTGATGCGTCAAATTAAAAATAAATGTCCTCAATATGTGTACTGTAATACGTTTTTTAAAGCTTTACAAAGGTCAACACTTGTTAAAAAATGTTGCGGAAGTGATTATTGGGGTAAAAAGTAATAAAGCATTTTTATGTTATGTTTTGTGACAAGAATGTGTTGTGAAAATAACAAAATGAAAGTGAAGAATATAAATAATCATTACATAAAAAAAAATAATCAGCCCCGTGTATATGTTTAAAATGTAGAACTGCATCACATACATCAAAACAAAAATGGTGTTAATATATTTTGTTTAATGTTACACGACGTAATAAGTTCATATGCAAGAAATGAACACGACCATACCCTGCATCAAACTTTAGATGTACGGATGTACAGATCAACGGATTCGCTTAATTCAGCAACCTGTTCGCTTGGTTTTTCCTTGGCCCTGATAAAGAAATTCGTCAATCTGAATGTCACATCTGTATATCATATCACAAGTCAATAAAGGAGATCCTCAGTTATTGTCTACTAATATTCATCTTTGAACGTAGCATATGCTCCTTCGGAAAGTGACCCATGACGATTCGGGGTAGAATAGGTCTTCAGCAACCCATGCTTGCCGTAAAAGGCGACTTACGGGATCCGGTTGTCAAGCTCGCTGACTTGGTTCATGCATGTCATCGATCCTGATTGCTTGATTGATGCTCATGAAGTCAATCACTGGATTGCCCCGTCCAGACTTTATTATTTACAGACCTTCGTCATATAGCTTGAATATTGCTGAGTGCGGCGTTAAACAACAAACCAACCAAATAACTTTGGAAAGTGGTATGGTGTCTTTATAACACTTCATATGCATTCTCTCCTTGTATGTCTGCGTACAGATCCCATTGTGACCCCATGCTTGCCGTATAGGTGACTATGCTTCTCGTAAAAGTCTACTAACAGGATCGGGTAGTCAGGCTCAGTGACTTTGTTGATGCATGTCGTCAATCCCACTTGCGTAGATCGATGCTCATGATATTAATCACTGGATTGTCTGGTCCAAACTCGATTATTTACAGACCGCCGTCATATAGCTTGAATATTGCTGAGTGCGGCGTTAAACAACAAACCAACCAACGAACCAACCAACCCATGGTGACCTAACACGGATGCAGCAGGTGCGTGCCTTCCAGGTCCTGCAGCTTAGGCGGATCACTCATCCCACTTCCATCAATGTCATCCTGAAGTCATCCCTCATCTGAACATGTACGTCGGTCTGGGACTCCCAGTTGTGGGAAAGTAAGCGAATGTGTCGGTAACAAGGGTCACGCGGGTACAGGAGAGTCGGGATGGTGCTGCACGTCATAACGTCCAGTCTCCATCTTCACTCTTAAACGCAGAAGGGAAGTTGAACAACCTTACGTCCTCGGACAAGAGACGGTTCCCTGTCATTACTTGATCTCGGTCCAGTTCCCGTTTCTGACCTGAAGTAGAGACACTTTGCTGATTCACTACGTTTATGGGGGCACGGTTATCCTAGTCGTCTAAGGCGCCGCGATTCAATGTGTAGAGTTGCGTCCCTTGGGCACGTCAGATTGTGGGTTGGGATCCCCGTTCGCCCCGAATCAGCGCCATAACCATGCTAGTGGGTTTCACGGAAGTGGTAAACATCTGAGACCTGCATCACTTCTGGCTTTCCTCCAACATTAAGCTGACACGCCGCGATATAACTGGAATACTGTTAAAAGCGGTGTTAAACCCAACTCACTCACTCACTACGTTTACAAAGTAAATACTTCAAAACTTCATAGGTCAACCAAATGATATAATTCTCGTATCGTTATGTTGGGAGGCATTCAAGCCTTATCATTACATTACGACATAATATTTCTGCAATTAGAGAAAGTTGCTAGATATCTATAGATTGTTTGTTGTTTAATGCCGCACTCAGCAATATTCCAGCTATATGACGGCGGTCTGTCTAGACCAGACAATCCAGTGATTAACATATTGAGCATCGATCCAAGCAATTGCGACCAATGACATGAATCAACCAAGTCAGCGAGCCTGACCACCCGATCCCGTTAGTTGCCTCTTACGACAAGCATAGTCGCCTTTTACGGCAAGCAATTGAGATCGATGACATTCCAATGATTGACATCACGAGCATCGATCTGCTCAATTGGCATGACATGCATCAACCAAGTCAGCGAGCCTGACCACCCGATCCCGTTAGTCGTTAGTCGCCTCTTTCGACAAGCAAAGTTTGCTAAAGATCAATTCTAACGGGGATCTCCTAGGGTACGTGTAATTAGTGGCACCTGGACTTGCTGACGTATAATTTAGCTGCACCAAGTTTTCGTGCTCCCCACTCTGTATATCTTGGTGTCAAAACCGAAAAAAATAAGATTATCATTTTTGGATTGAAATAACGCACAATCTCAAAGGGTCCCAACTCACAACTCAACAATTTGAACAGAAATAATATTTTCATATGTGTCACATGCTAAGGCTGGTATGTAAATTTATCATCTACAACTGGCTTCGCGAGGTAATATCACATGGGTGACATTAATGGGATGTAACACAATGCTTAGCAGACAACTATGACGTCACCAATGACCATGATGTCAAAATCAAACATCACTTATCTCTCTGCTTCTGAAGCTGTTTAGCTGTACCATTTACTCATTGTACATGCTGTTTTCAAACTGAAACAAGTTTGAAGAATCGTGTTGGATTATAAATATAATTTCCTCTCGTTTCTTTTGACTTCAATGTTAGACATAATGTATAGAAAGGTTGTGAGTAGATGAAATGATTTTAACCATCTTCCTCTCCTTCATCAATGGTTTCAAGAAGATCTTCCTTTGACCATTCCCGGGCGGACCACAGCTGCGACTGAACACAAACAACAGAATAATTGATCCATTAGTGATAATGTTAAATCTAAGTGGCTTGAGGTTATTATTTGTTTAAAGAACATGACAGATACAGTGTAGCAATTGGCCATGTTTTACAAGTTGTTTTTTTATTTACAAGGGTTTATTTTATTTACAAGGGTTTATTTCACTACATATTTAACATATTGAAGAAGAGCAGAGTTTATCTTCTTCGCGTTCTTAAACTGGTTTTGTATCTCACGAGAGGTACATTATTTAGAAAGGTTATTGTGCACTTTTGTGGAGAACCATTTTGCAATATATTTGCTGAGTGGAAAAGAAAGATGTCACCTTCAACTTGATATGAACAAGGACATGATAATGGTCACTGACTTCGATGACCATAAAAAAACATTGAAATGATTCTGACCCACAATACACGTGGCCTATAACGAAATAATGGTTAGAAACGTCTCACTGTGATTCAGCAGAGATGTGACACCAAGGAACAAGAAGGTTGCTAGGAGTTTGCATCATCAAGTTTTACCTACGTGTACACTAGGGGTGACTATGGGTCTGGAAATCACTATTGCGATAACTATTGATATTGAAAGAAACTATTGCGATAACTATTGATATTGCAAGCACTTATTGCGATAAATATCGATAGTTTTCAGTGTATAATTTTAGATGGATTTTAGAGCTGAATTAAACTTTGGAACTGAAGTTTCCTTTGAATGTGATAACCATAGCAACAAATAAAAAGTGAAGTTTGAGATATGACTGATTTGTTTTATCTTTACCTTAATTATTTAAGAAAAAGAAACTTCCACACTAGCATGTGTAAATTACCACCACTCATGATCAAAAGAAAAACAATTTTGAACAGCATTGAATGTATTTTATTGATATGGTAAATACAATCGAAACTTGCCATATTCCTAACTGAAATTTATACTATTGATCGGAAACTGAATTAACAATCGATTTATTGACTTTAAGGGCTTCCCAGTAGCAATATATCGATAGTTCGATTTATCGTGACACCCCTAGTATACACTGGTATTAAGCTTGTCCATTTAACATATGGAGGTAAAGCAAGATGTACATACTCCAGCATCAGTCTGCCGCTGACTTCGTGAAGGACACTCTGGATTATTGGTTGTGCCTGTAACATCCTGGTCAGTTCCCTCCTCATAGCTCTGAGGATCATCACCATACTGCACAGCCCCATCTGAAGCAACCATAACTGCATCATCCGCACCCTGATGCTCGCTAGATATTCATCAAACATGCGACAAACTTCATTTCTTTGAAATAAACTGTTTAAAGGAAAACAATGGAGCTCTCGTTTATGTCTATCGTACATGTAGACAACGTTTCTTGTCTAGTGTAACGCCGCAGTGAACAGTATTTCAGTTACATGATTGCAGTCTGTAGATAATCGAGTCTGGACCAAACAATCACGCGATGGCATACATCAACTAAGTCGTTTGTGAGATTGTGGTTTAACGCCGCACTCAGCAATATTCCAGCTATATGACAGCGTTCTGTAAAATAACCGAGTCTAGATCAGACATTCCAGTGATTGACATCATGAGCATCGATCCACGCAATTTGAATCGATGACATGCATCAACCAAGTCAGCAAGCCTGACCATCCGATCCCGCAGTCGCCTCTTACGACAAGCATATTCGCCTTTTACAGCAAGCAGGGGTTGCTGAAGACCTATTCTTACCCGATCTTCACGGGTCTGTAAAAAAAGAGACACCCAAGTAGGCATTGATAAAATACATGAAATCAAACCAAATATCGGTTACCCCTAATTGGCTTGTCAACTAAGTCAACAAGCCTGACCAAGTCAGCGAGCCTGACTACCCGATCCCGTTAATCGCCTATTATGACACACGTGGGTTCCTGAAGACCAATTCTAAACCGGATCTTCAAAGGGTGTAAATAATATATATTGCAACAATATCCGTAAATTTAAACAACACAGAAGAAATATACAGCCGTTGACATGAAGGTTTAGTTGAAAATGACTAACACTATAAATGTACAAGCGGGAATAATCAATGAATAGAAGGAGTTATCGCAGACAAACCTGAGATGAATAGCCATGATATGATGTTGTTTAACACAGAGGAATGACCTGGCCAGTCTACCACCACATGAATGATTCCAGGGAAATGGGTTGCATCTGTGAGTCTCATCCTCCATTCTTCAAGCGGCATTATGAAGGAACACACATCCTTCCCTCTGAGAATAAATGATAGTAGTTACAATTTAAGTAAGTGAGTGAAGATACTTTTGCGCCGCTCATAGCAATGTTCAAGCAATACCACGGCGGGGAACACCACATATGGACTTTTGCGCCGCTCATAGCAATGTTCAAGCAATACCACGGCGGGGAACACCACATATGGACTTTTGCGCCGCTCATAGCAATGTTCACGCAATACCACGGCGGGGAACACCACATATGGACTTTTGCGCCGCTCATAGCAATGTTCAAGCAATACCACGGCGGGGAACACCACATATGGACTTTTGCGCCGCTCATAGCAATGTTCAAGCAATACCACGGCGGGGAACACCACATATGGACTTTTGCACCGCTCATAGCAATGTTCACGCAATACCACGGCGGGGAACACCACATATGGACTTTTGCGCCGCTCATAGCAATGTTCAAGCAATACCACGGCGGGGAACACCACATATGGACTTTTGCGCCGCTCATAGCAATGTTCACGCAATACCACGGCGGGGAACACCACATATGGACTTTTGCGCCGCTCATAGCAATGTTCAAGCAATACCACGGCGGGGAACACCACATATGGACTTTTGCGCCGCTCATAGCAATGTTCAAGCAATACCACGGCGGGGAACACCACATATGGACTTTTGCACCGCTCATAGCATTGTTCAAGCAATACCACGGCGGGGAACACCACATATGGACTTTTGCGCCGCTCATAGCAATGTTCAAGCAATACCACGGCGGGGAACACCACATATGGACTTTTGCGCCGCTCATAGCAATGTTCATGCAATACCACGGCGGGGGACACCACATATGGACTTTTGCGCCGCTCATAGCAATGTTCAAGCAATACCACGGCGGGGAACACCACATATGGACTTTTGCGCCGCTCATAGCAATGTTCATGCAATACCACGGCGGGGAACACCACATATGGACTTTTGCGCCGCTCATAGCAATGTTCAAGCAATACCACGGCGGGGAACACCACATATGGACTTTTGCGCCGCTCATAGCAATGTTCATGCAATACCACGGCGGGGAACACCACATATGGACTTTTGCGCCGCTCATAGCAATGTTCAAGCAATACCACGGCGGGGAACACCACATATGGACTTTTGCGCCGCTCATAGCAATGTTCATGCAATACCACGGCGGGGAACACCACATATGGACTTTTGCGCCGCTCATAGCAATGTTCAAGCAATACCACGGCGGGGAACACCACATATGGACTTTTGCGCCGCTCATAGCAATGTTCAAGCAATACCACGGCGGGGAACACCACATATGGACTTTTGCGCCGCTAATAGCAATGTTCAAGCAATACCGCGGCGGGGAACACCACATATGGACTTTTGCGCCGCTAATAGCAATGTTCAAGCAATACCACGGCGGGGAACAACACAGATGGACTTTACACAATGTTCTCATGTTGGAAATTGAACCCGGGCCTTTGGCACGACAAGACAACGCTTTAACCACGTGGTTACCCCACCACCCAGTTTCCATTTAAAATAGTTTAGAATAAGTAGACATGAAGTACCCGTCCTTAGAAAGTTGTACCATGCGTCTTGTTTCGGCGGGTGAAATTGGTCCCGGCCACACTTACCATGACTCTCACACCATCAATAAGTTTCATGGCGTGATCTTAACAGCTCTCTACTGGACTGAAAAAAACTCATTCACAATAACTGGAGTCTGTGCGGTTAATAGGGAGCATAGGCTTGGGTCAGCTGACACTCCTAGCAAGTCTGATTTAATACCCTAAACTATTACCTTGTATATCTGTTCGCTCAAATGTTATCATGTATATTAATGAAGAATGTAAAGATTTTTCTAATAACACAGATACAATGTTCCAGTTTCACATAAGGTAGTACTTGCAACGCCTAGTCCTAGACCTAGCAAATTGGCACCATATCATGGACCATCGTCTGGTTCTTGTAAGGAAAAGATGCATTTACCCTTAGACTCCACACACCATAAAGAATAGTCTTCGTTAAGGGACATATACAAACTGGTTTGTTTTTAGAACAATTACATCTACAGACCATAGAGACTGTCCTCAGATCATAGGGAACCGTCTCTGTTAAAGGTCATATCGAAACTGGTTCGTTTAAGGAACAACTGCATCTAATGAACATAGAGACTGTCCTCAGATTACAGTGAACTGCGAGGGACATAAAACTAACTGTTTCGTTAAGGAACAACCTTGATACTTCACAAGGTATCACTTGACGTGCGACTAATGATATCATGTCAGACTCGTTGAAGGGACATATACAAACTGGTTTGTTTAGAACAATTGCATCTACAGACCATAGAGACTGTCCTCAGATTATAGTGAACTGCGAGGGACATAAAACTAACTTTTTCGTTAAGGAACAACATTGATACTTGACGTGCGACTAATGATACCATGTCAGACTCGCGATATAGCTGGACTACTGCTGACTGCAACGTTCACTGACTCTCTCACACATTCCTGTTACCTGGCTGCTGGCGTGGGTTCCCCTGATCCTGGTGCTTCCTCTGATTCAATGACCACAAATGTTGACCCTAACGTCTTTAGTGTTCCAACAACGTCTCCCATGAGTGCCTTACTGCCATCAGTTGGTTTGATTTTCACAATAACAGCCTTCTTCTCGATGGTTTCTGTTACCATACAGAATTTCTGCAGACTTAAGAACCACAGAGCATCACAATTGTCCTTGTCAACAATGGAAGACGTCAGAGCCAAAGACGATAAAAATGTGGTGATGATACATTTGTACTTTTCTTCCGAGACGACAAGATCCAAATGCTTATAATTGTCTTTAAGAATATTGTGAATAAAATTCTCAAAATGGACCTCTGAGCTTATGTCTGATTCTAACATCACTCCGTTAAGTACACTGAACTGTTCAGGACTGACCTCCTTGAATGCTTTGGCTATCCTGTCAGTAAGAGCTAAGTTGTACGCGCTTACTTTATCCAGACATTGATATTTGTTCATGAGTAAAGTTAACACAAGCACTGGCATGCCCTGCAAAATGAGGAACACATCCAGTACTGCATCAGCAGGTGTTGTGCCCAAGGCATCGTCAAGTGGTCGATGTGTGATATAGGCTAGCCCGTTTCTGGAAAGCTCTTCAATTCGTTGGAATAGAACGTCTGTGTTAGGAACAGTTCCCGGTGTTGATGAAGGACACATGTTTATTTCCCCTTAAACAAATAAGCAAACAAAACAGAAAGGTGTTGAATGGCAATTGCAATTTATCATCCCAAACTGGCTCCTACAGGAGATATCGCTTTGGTGAGATCAAGCAATATCTATATGGTAGATATGGCTACAATGAAAGCCAAAGATTGTTATCGGTGTCCATTGGCCATGATGTTGATAAAATATACTGTAACAAGCCACCTAGTATCTCACTCTTACTCATTCTAGCCAGTTCATTGTGCACACGCACCTGCAATTTGTCTCATCTCCATTTCGGACATCTCTAACCTGTGAATCCAAAGAACAATTGCGTCACATTTGTCCCACTCCATTGGAACATTATTCAATGAATGAATGTTTCATTTCCGAAAGAAGTCAAACTACGGGTGTGTTTATGCTACTAGAGACATATTCATTCCTTATAACCATTTTAGAACATTTCTTAACATATGCTTTAGTTATGAATTACCATTTCGAGTCCTACAGTAACAATTACTTGTGATACCAATCACTTGTAATAATCAAAGAATCATTTGTTTTCGCGAACACCTGGTGTCATCAATGATTTGCAAGGATCTATTCATACAATTCCACTACTTTACCAATTGAATCTGAAGATAATCGGCAGCTAAACGAGATTGATTATCAGCTGGCCTTGATGTTTGGAATTTATTGCAATGCATGGATCACTATAAGGTTGGTCCATTCGTACTTACTCCTCAGTGTGGATAGTTAAATATCCATTTTGCTCTCAGTTCCCACCAATATGTTCTGCCAAATATTCTCGTGTATGATTCTTCAACTGAAACATTGCGGATCCAGTATTATCGTTTCTATGAATGTATGAATGAATGTTGATATTACAGTTCAACTCGAAGTACATCAAATGCTGTTTTATCTTTTGTGATCTTCATTATTACACTAATTCTGAAGAAAGTGGTGTCACGTGGTCATTAGGACAGTGCACAGGTCACAAATCAGCCGAAGTTAGGCAACGTTGGTTGCGGAGAGTGGGTGGATGGTGACCGTGTTCGGCACCTTTACTGCTGAGAGTTTCTTTAGCTTCGGTCATGTCTCAAACTGAAGAGCAAGACCGCCTCCGTGATCTAGTGGTAGAGCGTCCGCCCGGAGAGCGGAAGGTCCGGGGTTCGATCCCCGGCCGCGTCATACCAAAGGAAGTTAAAAGATGGTACTTGTTGTTACCCTGTCTGGCGCTCGGCATTAAGGGGCTAAAACAAGGACAGGTCGGCTCGAAGTCAGTATACTCTGTCTGAGTAGGGTATTCATGTTAAACTGCGGCGTGGTATCTCAGTGAGCTAGCACTATAAATCGTCATCAGTCGGGACTAGTACAAGCAGTCACACAAACACACACAAGTACATGCACGTCGCTTTATAAGTGCAATAATCTTGGACGCGACGTTAAACCCCATTTCACCTCACCTCACTGAAGAGCATGTGTAGCATGGGTGGTTGCACCCTGGCCGACTGACTTTGTACGAAATATGGCTCTGTGAACACAGCAAGGAATGCGTACTTGAGAAGTGTCTTGCTTGATAATAAAGAATTTGTTATCCATAAATTTGTTATCCACTTTGTACTAGATTTGACAGTAGATGGTAATGAGACTGTTACCATTCTAGCGCCTCAAAAAAAATTCAGAACAAGGTCTATAACTGCGATCATAGCCCAGGGTGGTTTTTGAGTTATATATTCTTTTCAATATGGACCAATGTAACGCTACTTCATACACACAGGGAAATAGTTTTGTTATGTGGACAGGGTTCCTTTCATTCGGATTATGAGGGGCGGTGGGGCAGCCTTGTGGTTAACGCGTTCGCTTGTCACACCGATGGCCTGGGTTCGATTCCCCACATGGGTAGAATGTGTGAAGCCATTTCTGGTGTCCTCCGCCGTGGTACGTATTGCTGGAATATTGCTAAAACCGTCACTCACAGAGATTAAAATGTTTCCAAGTATCTGAGAACAGTCTGCTGCCATTTATAGGAACAAATAAGGACGTTACAATGTGTGTTAAAGTATGTTGTTTTAAAAATATGTCTTTGTGAGTAGTAGTTACTGGTAAAAAAACAACACCTTGTGCTTTACAGATTTTGTTCAAGTGAGATTTCTCTTCTTGAACACAGTTTTTGCAGCAATAGGTTTATTTTATTATTCATGTTATTAACATCTCGATTTAATCAATATTGCATTCATAATGTTTGCCTATTGTGCTTCCAGCGATATTTAAAAATACTATCTTTAGAATGATTAGACTAAATGGTCTCTCAATTTATACATGCTACACGTTTTCAGTCCCAAAAATATTAAAGCCACATATTGTGTTTTAATTAAACGACAACGGTCACTTATCGTTGCAGCTGTCGTGAACTGTAGGCTTCAGTTCAAACACTGTCATATATTTTATATTTTATGAGCACTTCAATTGAGCAGCGCGAATAGTGTCAGTTAATATTGATAGTGGCCATCGTCTTGTAGAACTTGCTGCAGAAGAATACAAATACAAATTTTATAGGCATCTGTATTGAGTCTTTAAAACCTCTTGAGGTGAGGAAAATAGAGTTTTAACGTCCCGTCTAAGATTATTACACTTACATAGCTACTTGCATGCACGTGTGTATGTGTATGGTTAGCTTATACTGGTTCGGACTGATGCCGATTTTATAGTGCTACCTGAGATACTATGTCGCAATTTCACATGGATACCCCACTCAGATCCAACCAGTCCTTGTTTTAGCCCCCTCGTACCGAGCGCCAGACAGGGTAACAACAAGAACCATCTTTTAAACGTATTTTAGAATCAGCCCGGACCTCCCGCTCTCCGGGTGGACGCTCTACCACTATACCATGGAGGGAGTATGAAACCCCTTGTACATACAATTTACAGTGAATGTTGGTTGGTTGGTTTGTTGTTTGACGCCGCTCTCAGCAATATTCCAGCTATATGACGGCGGTCTGTAAATAATCGAGTCTGCAGCATCGATCCACGCAATTTGGATCGATGACATGCATCAACAAGTCAGCGAGCCTGACCACCCGATCCCGTTTATCGCCTTTTTCGACAAGCATAGTCACCTTTTACGGCAAGCATGGGTTGCTGAAGACCTCTTCTACCCCGGATCTTACATACTATCACTGCACAGCCCAGAGCTCACTGTACAAGTTCACGTATTGTACATAGGACATTCTTGGTGACTTGATTACGTGTGCTACCCAGATACGGCGCAGAGCGTTCGCCAAAATATAAATTACTGGATTGTCAGGTTCATTATACTTTTACAGTCCGTTAGGATACAGCTGGAATATTGCTGAGTGCGTCGTTATAAAACAAACAGAAAAAAACCAAAATGTATATATATATACATAGAGAGAGAGAGAAAGAGAGAGAGGGAGAGAGAGAGAGAGAGAGAGAGAGAGAGAGAGAGAGAGAGAGAGAGAGAGAGAGAGAAGTATGTTACACTCTTAATGTGTTTCGCTTCCACTTTTACACATATATTAAACACGTACATAGGTAAAATAGTACCTAGCGTTACCTACCTTGATTTCGTCATGACTCAAATACACTGTTTCGTACCTCGTCCTTATCTAGCAAATAGATCCGATTCAATGCCCATTGAGCGAGGGACATATCAGACGCTACTAAGCTGGCTTGCAAGGGTATAACACACTCTATAGCATTTATGTTCAAACACATTCTGTGCTCATACAAAGAGATATTCAACGGGAAGTATTCAGTGTGTTCCTAGACGTGTGTGGTATTCTCTGCAATAAGCCGCTTAGAAAGTGAACAAGAATTAACAATACATCAACGTGTTCATATATTCAACGTCGACAATTTACACAATCCAAAATGTAATAATATCACCTCCTGACGCCAAGCCTGTGACACCACAGGCGTCCTTGCAGTTGGTTCATGTACACATGGCAAGTGAATAGATGGGAATAAAAGAGATGCCCTTGTCATGGTCCACAGATTTCATTCAATACACCTGCCATTTATTATATCACTCCAGTATTCACTTTTCAGCATGCGCTAATGCCATCGACAGCACGCGTTCAATAGAAACAGTGTCTAGTAGCACAGCACAATTGGGTATAGTGTACGGACGCAACGTTGTTGTATATTGGGCTGGAAGGCCTGAATCTGTCCCACCCGTGAAGATCCGGGTAAGAATATGAATCCCCAGCAACCCATATGTCATAAGAGGCTAACGGGATCAGGCATAAAAGGTGACTATGCTTGTCGTAAAAGGCGATTAACGGGATCGGGTGGTCAGGCTCGCTGACTTGGTTGATGCATGTCATCGATCCCAATTGCGTGGATCGATGCTCATGCAGACTCGATTATTTACAGACCGCCGTCATATAGCTGGAATATTGCTGAGTGCGGCATTAAACAACAACCAACCAACCCACCAACGGGATCAGGCTCGCTGACGTGGTTGATGTATGTCATCCTATCCCAGTTGCGCAGCTTGATGCACGTGGTGCTCACTGGATTGTCTGGTCCAGATTATGTACAAACCACCGTCAAACGGCTGGAATGTTGTTTCGTGTGGCGTTAAAAAAACCCAATCTGTTGTCTGTCCATACCCCACGTGTTTGCTGGCGAAGGGGAAAAGGTCAACGCAATGTAATTTTGGTTTGATCTCTCCCGCAAACAATGTGTTCACATCTTTTGGGCTCAAAGAAGCATGCCTTTTCTATGAAGAATTTAGAGATTCTAGCTCAAAGGTCAAATTTGTAGAGTTACGTCGTTCAAGACCTTAGTAATGCTTTCAAAAGGTTTTATGGTAGATATTGGGAGGACAATTCCAAATCTGATGCTTGACCACCCGATTTCGTTAGTCGCCTCTAACGACAAGCATAGTCGCCTTTTACAGCAAGCATGGGTTGCGAAGGACCTATTCTACCCCGGTTCTTAACGGGTCGCAATGGAAAGTCAGTTGTTTACATCCTCTTGTGTTCAAATTGATACAATTTTGTGGTAGGTTTAACCCTCAGTATTTATGCAGAACATATTTGAATATCAATGACGACACTGACTATACCTCCAGGTGAGACACAGATCGCTGGTGCTATATTAATTTGGATCATCGGAGTTCTATACCATGTTTGTTAAAAATAAATCTAACCTTACATGAGATGAAACAAACAAATTTGTTAAGTCCCATACATTTGAATACTTGTGAAATGCGTTTGTAAAGCGGACAGGACGGCATATTTCCTTATCAACGGCAACCGCGGTGAGATGGAGCTCACTGAGATACCATGCCACAGTTTAACATGAATACCCCACTCAGACACAGTATATTGACTCCAAGCCAGTCCTTGTTTTAGCCCCTTAATTCCGAGTGCCAGACAGGGAATCAAATGACATCTTTTAACGTATTTTGGTATGACGGGGCCGGGAATCGAACCAACGACATTCCCCTTTACGGGCGGACGCTCTACCACTAGACCACGGAGGCGGCCTCACAGCAACCGCACTAATGAAGAAAGCGGTCATTATCACTAATGTTCACAAGTCCAATTGACATTGCAGGTTGGTAAAGTCTTTTCACATAACCACCGTGGCCATGTCAGATACCTTTATGTTCATCATACACACATAAATGGACGGGAATCTATCAACTGCATCGCTAATCTAGTGCGGGAAGATTTGGAGCACCCCACACAACCTCGCCATGCCATATACGTCGATCAACAACTGATGATAGCTTTCCGTTTTTCGCAAGTGGTAGTTTCTTCAAGTGATTGGTGATAAGATGGGTGTGGACAAATGTACAGTTTCGCGTGTCACGGTACATGTGACTGATGCTTTGGTTAAACGGGATAACGAATTCATAAAATGGCCAACACAAGAATGCTACATACGTCAAGTCACGTCTTGTGATATCAGAGTGCTGTCCATTTTTCGCAGTTAGAGTAGCTTCCCTTCTAAGGCCAATTAAGTACGTATTCAACAGATTCGGAAAACGAAAAATGGAAGGTTTTGCGTAAATGCTCTCAATGAATGCAAATTTGATGTTCCAGACAGCAAACATAGCATTGTATTTTTTTTCAACTTTGCTAGAAACAGTGCAAAGAGTCTGTAATGTGTTTTTAGACAATATTGCTGAATGAATTATCTAATCTATAGGATTATATACTCCTATAGTGGAAATGCAATTAATCCATAAAGTCTGATGCTTTATCTATTTTGTAGGAAAATTTACGAATGTGTGTGCTAAATGGACGGGAGACCCGTGAAGATCCGGGGTAGAAAAGGTCTTCAGCAACCCATGCTTGCTGTAAAAGGCGACTATGCGTGTCGTGAGAGGCGACTAACGGGATCGGCTGGTCAGGCTCGCTGACTTGGTTGATGCATGTCATCGTATCCCAATTGCGTGGATCGATGTTCATGATGTCAATCACTGGATTGTCTGGCCCAGACTCATTATTTACAGACCGTCGTCTTATAGCTGGAATACTGCTGAGTGCAGCGTTATACAACAAACAAACACACAAACAAACAAATGGCCGGGATCAAGCCATGACAGCCACATATTTCGAACATCCACTTTGTGTGCATACTAAGAGGGATCGCACAAGACAATATCAGATGGCTTTCTATTGTGGACACCCTTGCAGGCCTTTTCTCCTATCCCCACCACAAGGCAATGCTCCCCAGAGATACAATGGTAGCGTGTGTGCTGCAAGAGTTACAACAGAAATAACGGTTTGATGTTGTTTATTCGGAGGTAAATATGCATAGTATATTTGTGAACTTTTTTTTACATCTACATCTAATCTTGATATGTTAATCTTTGGGCGGTGTAGTGTTTTCAAATGCTTAACCACAGGAAATGTGAAACACAATGAGTGATGTAACCAAAGTTGTATTTTTTGGATAACACTTTCTTAGTAAAGTACAGATACTCTATTGGGGATTAGGACCATCCGGGATTCGAATCCAGACTCCCAGAGTGAGGCACCTAATCGCCAGCACACACCCAAGGCTGCTAGTCTAGATCATGTACGTTATCTTCCCCTCTGAGACGTGTAAATTGGCACGGCTCTCTTGGCCGAAAACTATGAATACACAATGCCATTTAGAAAGGGGTACACAAAGTTTGTCATCTAAACAACCAGTTGTTGAACAGTTTGTTGGAGCCTGCTGTGGCTGAGTGTGTTAGGTCGCTGGCTTTGTGTGCTGGCGATTAGGTGCCTCACTCTGGGATGGGACTCAACCCAAGAAAGTAATAGATTCTGTACTTTACTAAGAAAGTTTTATCCCAAAAATAACATTTGTTACACTTTACCACTTACTAAATTGCCTTGTGGGGCAAGAGCAGCACTCAACAAATCTGTGACTTCACTTATCCCGTTCAGTGATTACAAACCCGTGATAAGATGTTTCATACGAGATCTCATGTAAAAGAAGTGTTGTTGTTGTTTGTTGTTTAACGTCGCACTCAGCAATATTCCAGGTATATGACGGTGGTCTGTAACTAATCGAGTCTGGACCAGACAATCCAACCGTAGTCGCATCTTAAGACAAGCATAGTCGCCTTTTGCGGCAAGCAGGGGTTGCTGAAGACCTTTTCTAACCCTGATCTCCACGGATCTGTAAACAAAGTGAGACACCCAAGTAGGTATTGATATATTACATGAAATCAAACCAAATATCGGTTACCCCTACTTGGGTTGCTAATCAGACTGAAAGAGGTCACATCACATCAATGTCGATATCGTGTACACATGAACATTTATTAAAAGTTTAGGATCCTCCATTCTGTATCCCTTATGATGTCATAATCATGGGCAAGCATGTCCTTCTTGACTGTGTCCATTTTTCCATCATGAGGAATAAATATTTTCAATTTTCACCCAGGGATCCTTTTAATCAGATATGAGCACGTTTAATTATTGTTTTTTAGAAAGAAAGAATTGAATAATTGATAAGTTTGAATGTGGAACGTTATCTATTTTTATAAACTGCTAGTATTTGACAATTAACTAAGATTGTTAGTTGATGGGGGTTGAAGTTGTGTAAAATTATTGTGTCCCTGCGTGGGTATGTAAGCCTGCGTTTTTCAATTATTGTTATGTGTACCAGGGGCACGGGTGGCCCAGTTGTCTAAGGCGCCGCGATTCGATGTGCAGAGCTGCGTCCCTTGGGCAGAAGCCTATGATTGTGGGTTCGAATCCCGGTTCGCCCCAATTATGTTTCTAGGTTTGTCAGCACCATACCCGTGCTCGTGGGTTTCACCGAAGTGGTAAATGTCTGAGACCCGCATCACTTCGGGTTTCCTCCAACATTAAGCTGACACGCCGCGATATGACTGGAATACTGTTAAAAGCGGCGTTAAACCCAACTCACTCAGTTATGTGTACCAGTGTTTTATTCGAAGAATATTTATTCGTTTTAATCACTGACTGAGTGTCCAGAATCACCAGTGATTAGAGGGTGTAATGGTGTAAGTCCTGCAGGGGTCCATGCGGGTAGCACAGTAGTTTTATATACATGAATTGCCTGGCTGCAGGTCCATCATAAGGTCGTGGTGCTGCCTCAGCGATGCTGTTTCTTTTATGTTTATGTGTTGTTTTTTTATCATGGAATACAAGATATCTACGCCATGAATCGCAAAGAACAATCAAGAACGAAGCGTGGTTTATTTCACAATGAAAAATTATTCCATTGTTATGTGTACAGAAATCTGTACGTAAAAGAACCTAGTGTGTAACCAAACAAAACAATCAAGTTTTATTATTTATACGTCCAAACTAAATCCAGAATGCTCTGCATGTTTCGCAGTATCCACTGAGAAAGGTGCCAGTTGAGGGTTCATGGTATGGTAAAGAACCTCGTGGTGAAAACGCTCTCAACAAAATGATGAAAATGTTCTCAGTAAAGTTCCTGTAGTAAGACATCGGTAGAACAGAAAAGGAAATTAAGCCACACACTTCATGAGAAAACTGCGCGTTCCACAAGCTATTCATCAGGTTACCCTATGCAAGCGACATAATCTAGCAACTTTTAAACTATAGCTGTTACATATACCGAACCAAATATGCTGTCAAAAATAGAAGTATCCGCCAATCAGAATGTACTCATAGGGATTTTGTCAGCAGTGCAACTTTCAATAATTCGCACAGTGCACTTCAGATTCAAAACAAATCTGAATGAACTCGCTTGAACTTGATATTTAATCTCCTAGTTCACATGCATTTGTCGACTGTTAGAAATGTTTTCATACGTATTGCTATTTTTGTATATGCTTCATGAATTCCGTTATTCTTGTTAAGAATGAAATAGTATATTCTCATCTTTCATTGTTTTTATGTTTCCTTTATTTAGGCCCTACAGGAAAGACCAAGCTAAACCCCTGTACTTGTCTGACATTGACGAGATTGCATTCTTTTCATGGAGTGATTATTATTTGAATACGGATAACAAATTTTTAAAGCTTTAAGATTTAATAAACATATTTAATGAGGCTGTAAATGTGATACCTCATATCGCAACCATTGTTTATCCTACAATAAAACACTGCAAGAAGAATAAACCACCCTATATGTACACCCCTAATTTATTCTCCAAACACTGTTTTATGGTACGATAAACAACTCCCACTAGTCGTTTATTTCTTAAATGTGACTTTAGAATACTCACATGCACATTTACTCATGTTTTATTATTTTTTGCTTCAAAGAAAACAAATATGTTTTGAATGTTAATATGTTGAAATTAAAGAAGTATAACAACAATAGGGTATTCACCTCATTGCAAATTTAGGAGCCCGAATGTGTCTTGACTGTGTCTACGTGTTCACTGACTATTGGTTTCGTAACTGAAGTAGCTACTTTGTTCAAATGAATAAACCTTTTACTACCGCTTCACAATTTATTGCCTTACCAACCTTTCCGATTCGAATCCCCCTGACATGCCACTGAAACTCCCTGAATCTTGCAACCCGTGAAGAAAAGGTCTTCAGCAACCCATGCTTGCCATAAAAGGCGACTATGCTGGTCGTAAGAGGCGACTAATGGGATCGGGTCGTCAGGCTCGCTGATTTGGTTGAAGCATGATATCGATCCCAATTAAGTGGATCGATGCTCATGATATCAATCACTGGATTGTCTGGTCCAGACTCGATTATTTACAGACCGCCGTCATATGGCTGGAATATTGCTGAGTGTGGCGTAAAACAACGAACCAACCAAACCAACACTAAATCTTGCATTATCTCAATAATTCGAGAAGTGGCCCGATTCGGTTCGGAGGATTGGGGCCCCCCTCCGGTCTTCCTCTGTAAACGTTGTAGCATGTAGTCCGTTCAGGTTTATTGGCCTTTCTTGTCATGTTGCACCATTTCTCCCTCATTTAGGGGTGGTCGGGTAGCCTAGTGGTTAAAGCGTTCGTTCGTCAAGCCGAAGACCCGGGTTCGATTCGCGACAAGGGTACAATGTGTGAAGCCAATTTCTGGTGTCCCCCGCCGTGATATTGCTGGAATATTGATAAAAGTGGCGTAAAACCATATTCACTCACTCCCCTCTCCCTCACATCATCAACAGATCGAAGCGCTACGCGCCTCATGTACTGCCTCAGTGATAGCCATCGATGTAGCAGGCTCCTTCTTATTGGTTACTTCACTGCTTTTCATGAAGTACGTGTGAATCTCTCTCGACCCATGACTGAATTATATTTTCTTCATCCACAGATAATTTCCTATTTCTTTTCTTTGTTATATCCCTTGGAGTTTCCTCAGTCATTGACACTGTTTTGGCATTATTCTTCATTATGCTTCAATCAATATGTTAAACTTTAACCGAGTGGTAAGGTAATCTAATGGTTATTATAATGTAACGGCTGGTTTACTAATGTGTGGTTAAATATTTAATGGTTGGTTAGGAGTCAACCAGATGTTAAAATAACCGGGCCCAACTTTGAAAAATGACTGCCACAGGACGGTTTCGGAACCGCAAGCAACACACCCATGCACGTGGGTAGTGCTCATTTTATTCATTTTGATCCTTCAGCAAAAGGTTGTCAAATCGCTCTGAGCCATGAGTATTATTGATTTTCCTTATCCACAGTAACGCATACTCTCTGTATTCAAGCTTCATTGCAGAAGTTGTGATCAGAATGGGAAAGTGTCGTTTACAATGTGATGTAGGCATGCCTGGTAGTAGTCAGCAAGATCTAGCCAATATGTTCTTTGCCTCTTTGGAACAGGATTCTGCAGACATAAAATGTAAATGATCGACCCCGCACAGGGCTATACGAGTCAAGTGTTTGTAGGCGTCCTAACAAACGTCTTGTGAACGTCAACGTAAGACAACATGATAGATTTTAGGTTGGATCTGAAATGACATGGGTTGAGATCACTCTGACTGCAAGGATGCCACTACCGAAACAACATACTGTCGCCAATAGGTGTGCCGTCTGCGCGCCATGCTGGTCAACGTCTTTCAAGACGATAACGCCAGTATCGACCGTGCACGTATCGAAACTGACGACCTCCAGCAACATACCGTCACCAGAATGCAATGGCCAGGCAGGAGTCTTGACCTTCGCACACAGAGCACGTCTGGGACAGGTCTGAGCAGACACAACAGTTTCAAACACAAGAACCATTGAACCAGTTCAAGTGATGGCACCAGGTGTCCGCTAAATGGGCGGGTGTGACGTGGCCTTACGATTAAACACGTCAGCAGGAAAGGTCATTTGAGCATAAAGACTTTCTGGTGTCCGCTAACCCCATGGTGGTTCTTGTGTAGAAGTGGTTCTGAGTTTGGCTTAAGTGTCAACTAAGTGAGGTGAGTGAAATGTGGTTTTAGGTCGCGGCCAAGATTATTGCATTTATTTAGCGACGTGCATGCACGTGTGTGTGTGTGTGTGTGTGTGTGTGTGTTTTGCTGCTTGTACTGGTCTGAACTAATGCCGATTTTATAGTGCCAGCCCACTGAGATACGATATTGCATTTTAACATGAATACCCCACTCAGACACAGTATACTCACTCCGAGCCGACGAGTCCTTGTTTAGCCCTTAATGTCGAGGGCCAGGCAGGGTAACAACGAGCACCTTTCTTTTAACGACTTTCGGTATGATGCGGCCTAGGATCGAACCCCGGACCTTCCACGCACTGCCACTAGACGCAGCCTTAAGTGTCAACTAAGCTGGATCGAGTAAGGTCCAGGTGACACTTGCCAATTCATCCCTGAATCTTTACTGTTGAAAGCTTGAAAAGCAGTCACAGTTTCCACTTTCGAAAACATGTTTCCGGGGCTCGAATTTTCTGCCAATTTGAACTTTATTTTTCATAGCATGGAAAGTAAAAAATACGAATGCATTTGGTCAGTGTTGTTTTGAAAATCAATGTGACTTTATGTGATAACTATGTTCATTCAGAAAAACAGTTTAGATTATTAGCAGTGTAGAGCTTTCTAAAATAAAGTTTGAAAGATCAACTGTAGTGTTACCCGGACCGAGTATGACACAGATATAAGTCATGTTGCGATCCTAATTCAAGTCTTACCAATTAGCTTTGTTTTCCTTTGCTTAGACATGTATTATCCATGAGGTATTCTGATGTCCTCAAATTAAACACAATAGTTCAATCTTAGACGTTTGTATTCAGCAAGACACAAGGACTGCATTTTGCATTTTCCTCGTGCAAATATGACAAAATCAAATATAAGATTTTTCACAAATGAACGGCAACTCCTGCTTGCAGGGACGGTCATTCCACCTGTAACCAATCCCCAAATCCATCGCCATGCAATGTTCTTTACCCGCGCTGTTACTTGGTTCACCTGGTTGCCAGTTGGTGTAGCCCTCTACCTTCCTCAGGGGGTGCTCCCAGGTCCAGATACCCTCTGATCTCAGGTCAGTGGCGCCGATGTAGAAGTCAGTGCCTTTTTACGAGATAAGACATAGAGATTACCACACGAGAGTCGTCAGATACCATTAATCTTACAACGCGTTGTTTCAAAACGTATATGACGAGCGAAAGCATAACACCAGGGCCATTATTGACGTCACCCGACGTACTGCTTACTACTCATAAATAATGTGACCCTACAAAAAAAGGTTTCCGCCATATCTGTGGATTTTAAAGGCGATCATGATAATCCAAAGTAGATAAGATCAATGAACCCGCTGTATGACGAGTTAATAATTTCAACTCAAAGAAATGACCAAATAGGTACAACAATGTTTACTTTGGTATGACATCACTATCGGTGACCGAATTTTACAAACTGGCGTGTTCACTGACAACAATATGCGGGATTTTACGAGGGAACGTTCGTTTGCATATTTTGCAAAACATTCTAAATGATTCTAGGCTTTTCGGCGACGTTTCAGACTTATCATTGGTGATTTCATGAAAAACAGATAGAAATCTAACAGTGATCACCAAATTGCTTTTGAAAAATATTCAATTCTTCGAGTAAATAGCCGATATTTAGATTTCCAAGCATAGAGTAAATAATTAACGCAGTGAATGATTTTGTGATGTATCGAAAATGGCGAGATTTCCGATGTACCTAATTTTCAGAGGTAATTTTCAATAGTTTTGCTTTCCCTAAAATGACAGTGACTATCACAGAAAAAAGGGAATTTCTCACAGAATTCAAAACTGTGAAGTGTACTAGTGTACGTGATACATTTTATTCCACTTCGAAGTAAGGGTTGATGTGGAGGGACATATAAATGTCGCTGTGGAATCCAGGAGGTAAAAACTTACGTATCCCATGTACGCAGCAGATCAATGCGCGTAAATGTAAAAAAGCCAAAACAATTACCATACCAACTATCCATAATGTAAGTAATCATTATTAATGTATATATTCGGTGTAATATGTCAAGTTCGAAGATGTGAGTGTCCACTAGTAATATATCCGTGTTCAACAAGCCATGTGTCAGAGCAGCTGGCGTGTTTAACAAGCCATGCATCAGAGCACCTGCGTCCCAGCCAGTCTGATGAGTTTATATACACATTCTGTTGTTGAACATTGTATAACTCCTGCAGGGGAGAGAAGACATTTGGATGACTAAACCTTTGACAGGTCATCAAACAAATGGTGTCTCAACACTTTGCAAGAAGAACGAACGGGTGCCCGGTAGAATGTGACGGACCTTTGAATGCAGAAACTTTAATAGTCTAACACGCAGCATGGACTTTATACTCAAAAGGGAGTTGAGAATTCACATTATATGTGTACCTGGGAACATAAACATACGTTGTTATTATTATTATTAGTAGTATTTGTATTATGTACAAATAAAAATGCACCAAAGAGGGTTTGAATGATCCTGGCACAGTCAGGCTGGTTCGGCTCATCATCAGCTCAGAGCCCTTTCCCCCAGATCAGGTTTGTTGGATGCGTCTGAGGCCTATTCCAAAGAATTTTGTATTTATCAATTTCCATAAGGCACTCTACAGATGCTTGGTCTTACCATTGATCGACCTCTGTGTCAAAACCACAAGCATGGTGAAGACGGTTATAAAATGATCGAGCCACTCCATCATGTTGCTTAAGAGACTGTGTTTGTGTCAAAGCTGGGCATCACCTGACAGGACAGTATCATTAAACTCATTGTGTATTCTACATTTCATATTTCATTTTGTTGCAAAATCACACATTGATGGTTTCGAGTGGGCAGTGACTGGTCTTGAGCAACAAACAGAAAGCCTTCATTGCTTTTATTATTGTTTTTTATTATTATTTTAGAGATACGATTCTTTGAAGGAAATGTGTACAAAAATCATCGTTGATGTCAATAACAATCCAGTCTGTTCTTGTGACATGGACACTACAAATCTGTATGTCAAGTCATATTTACAGTTACCTTTGCCATGCCTGAGAAGGTGACTCCTGATCAAGTCATCTTCATTCTTGCTGGTGATGTCTGCCAAGTGACTCCCGAAGAACAGGCAGAAGGACTGTGGAGAGTTGTTATACTGATATTACTCAACTGAAGTAGTGAATTCGATATGACGTGAACATATTGAAAGACTTCTACTTTAGATATTAGTTCACCATGGAGAGAGGTGAAGATTTGATAATCCACAAAGTACAGTGGAATATGATCATTTAATCACAGGGGACAAAATACTTATTACGCAGTAAATACAATAAACTTACATTGGCGTCAGCGTAGGTATCACGGCTATGCGAAAACAGGTAGCATGTTGGACCAAGGTTGATAAATCCAAGTGGGCATCTCATCGCTGAAATGTTAATGAATACTCAGAGATGTACATATGATCGCGTTATGTATGGGATTGTTAAATTTCCCAATATGAACACCGAAGGTTGTATTTTGTACCCATGAGTTCAGACTCTCTACCATTACCTACAGACATTGTACCCATGAGCTACACACATTATTCCTACGAGCTACACACATTGTACCCACGAGCTACACACGTTGTACCCTTGAGATACACACACTGTACCAACGAGCTACACACATTGTACCTATTCGTTGCACACATTGTTCCCACGAGCTACACACACTGTACCACGAGGTACACACGTTGTACCCTTGAGATACACACATTGTATCCACAAGCTTCACTCATTGTAGCTACAAGCAACACATATAATTCTCAAGAGCTACACAAACTGTACCTTACGAGCTACACACATAGACCCCATGAGCTGCACACATTATATCCATGAGCTACACACACACTGTACACACGAGCTACATAGACATTGTACCAATTAACAACAGAAACTGTAGCAATGAGCTACACACATTTTACCCACAAGCAACACATATTATACCCACAAGCTACACACATTGTACCCATGAGCTACACATATTGTACCAATGACCTACACACATTGTACACATGAGCTACACCCACATTGTACCCACGAGCTACAGAAACTGTACCAATGAGCTTCACACATTGTACTCACAAGCTACACACATTTTACCCAGGAGCTACACACATTGTATCACGAACAACACAAACTGTACCCTCGAGCTAGACACATTTTACCCATGTGCTACACACACTGTATCGCTGAGATAAACACAGACTTTACACACGATCTACAGACATATTGTATCCATGAGCTTCAGAAACTGTACCAATAAACTACACACATTGTACCCACGAGCTACACACATTGTACCAACAAGCTACACACATTGTATCCATGAGCTACACACACTGTACCCATGAGCTAAACACATTATATCCATAAGCTTCATACATTGTATCCACGAGCTACACACATTGTATCCACAAGCTACATACATTGTACCCATGAGCTACACACATTGTGTCCATAAGCTTCAGACATTGTATCCATGAGCTACACGCATTGTACCCACTAGCTACACAAACTGTACCTTTGAGCTACACACATTGTACCCATGCGCTACACACATTGTATCCTTGAGCTAAACACATTGTATCAATTAGCTAATCACACGCTGTACACACGAGCTACACACACATCGTACCGACGAGCTACAGAAACTGTACGAATGAGCTACATACAGTGTAGCCACAAGCTATACATATTGTACCCATGAGCTACACACATTGTATCAATGAACTAAACACACACTGTACACACGAGCTTCACACATTGTACACACAAGTTACAATCATTGAACCCAAAGGTTACACACATTGTACCCACGAGCTTCATAAAACTGTACCCACGAGCTACACACATTGTACCCATGTGCTACACACATTGTATCCATTAGCTACACACATTGTTTCCATGAGCTACACACATTGTACCCACGAGCCACACAAACTGTATCCTCGAGCTTCACAAATTTGTACCCATGTGCTACACACATTGTATTCATGAGCTAAACACACACTGTACACACGAGCTACAGAGACTGTACCAATGAGCTACACACGTAAATATTGTACCAACGAGCTACACACATTGTACCCACAAGCTACACACATTGAACCCACAAGTTACACTCATTGTACCCACGAGCTACACCCGTTGTGCCCACGAGCTCCACAAACTGTACCAACGAGCAAAAATCATTGTACCCATGAGCTACACCCATTGTGCCCACGAGCTCCACAAACTGTACCAACGAGCTAAAATCATTGTACCCATGACCTTCACACATTGTAACCACAAGCTACCTACATTGTACCTATGAGCTAGACACATTGTATCCATGAGCTACACTAACACACTGTACCGACGAGCTACGCACATTGTGCCCATGATTTACACACATTGTACCCACAAGCTACAGACATTGTTCCCATGAGCTTCACACACTGTAACAATTAGTTACGCTCATTGTATCCACGAGCTACACACACTGTAACAATTAGTTACGCACATTGTATGCACGAGCTACACACATTGTATCACGAACAACACAAACTGTACCCTCGAGCTAGACACATTTTACCCATGTGCTACACACACTGTATCGCTGAGATAAACACAGACTTTACACACGATCTACAGACATATTGTATCCATGAGCTTCAGAAACTGTACCAATAAACTACACACATTGTACCCACGAGCTACACACATTGTACCAACAAGCTACACACATTGTATCCATGAGCTACACACACTGTACCCATGAGCTAAACACATTATATCCATCAGCTTCATACATTGTATCCACGAGCTACACACATTGTATCCACAAGCTACATACATTGTACCCATGAGCTACACACATTGTGTCCATAAGCTTCAGACATTGTATCCATGAGCTACACGCATTGTACCCACTAGCTACACAAACTGTACCTTTGAGCTACACACATTGTACCCATGCGCTACACACATTGTATCCTTGAGCTAAACACATTGTATCAATTAGCTTATCACACGCTGTACACACGAGCTACACACACATCGTACCGACGAGCTACAGAAACTGTACGAATGAGCTACATACAGTGTAGCCACAAGCTATACATATTGTACCCATGAGCTACACACATTGTATCAATGAACTAAACACACACTGTACACACGAGCTTCACACATTGTACACACAAGTTACAATCATTGAACCCAAAGGTTACACACATTGTACCCACGAGCTTCATAAAACTGTACCCACGAGCTACACACATTGTACCCATGTGCTACACACATTGTATCCATTAGCTACACACATTGTTTCCATGAGCTACACACATTGTACCCACGAGCCACACAAACTGTATCCTCGAGCTTCACAAATTTGTACCCATGTGCTACACACATTGTATTCATGAGCTAAACACACACTGTACACACGAGCTACAGAGACTGTACCAATGAGCTACACACGTAAATATTGTACCAACGAGCTACACACATTGTACCCACAAGCTACACACATTGAACCCACAAGTTACACTCATTGTACCCACGAGCTACACCCATTGTGCCCACGAGCTCCACAAACTGTACCAACGAGCAAAAATCATTGTACCCATGAGCTACACCCATTGTGCCCACGAGCTCCACAAACTGTACCAACGAGCTAAAATCATTGTACCCATGACCTTCACACATTGTAACCACAAGCTACCTACATTGTACCTATGAGCTAGACACATTGTATCCATGAGCTACACTAACACACTGTACCGACGAGCTACGCACATTGTGCCCATGATTTACACACATTGTACCCACAAGCTACAGACATTGTTCCCATGAGCTTCACACACTGTAACAATTAGTTACGCTCATTGTATCCACGAGCTACACACACTGTAACAATTAGTTACGCACATTGTATGCACGAGCTACACAGACTGTAACAATTAGTTACGCACATTGTATGCACGAGCTACACACACACTGTAACAATTAGTTACGCTCATTGTATCCACGAGCTACACACACTGTAACAATTAGTTACGCACATTGTATGCACGAGCTACACACACACTGTAACAATTAGTTACGCTCATTGTATCCACGAGCTACACACACTGTAACAATTAGTTACGCACATTGTATGCACGAGCTACACACACACTGTAACAATTAGTTACGCTCATTGTATCCACGAGCTACACACACTGTAACAATTAGTTACGCACATTGTATGCACGAGCTACACACACTGTAACAATTAGTTACGCACATTGAATCCACGAGCTACACACACTGTAACAATAGCGTACGCGCATTGTATCCATGAGCTACGTACACTGTGCCAACGAGCTACACACACTTTATGCATTAGCTGCACACATTGTACTGATAAGCTAAACATGTTGTACCCATGAGTTACACACACTGTACCCATGAGTTACACACACTGTTCCCATGAGTTACACACACTGTTCCCATGAGTTTTACACTTTCCACCAGTAAGCTACATGTTTTCTACACATGAGTGTCAAGCTCGTTTACTACACGTCTGCATTCCGCATGCAATGCGTTGAACAGGCACATGTAGCCACGAGTGTGCAACCTGTGACCCAGGCATAGCGAAGGAAATAAACTGACAAGAGGTGGCCGTGTGTTCAGTAAACAGAGAAAAAGAACAATTGATGTTTGTATATGTGCTGATGGCCCCGTTTTAGATAAGATATTATGACAGAATATTGTATATATTTGTATCCGTTTCATTGCTCTTGTTTAAACATCAGTAAAAACTATTTAGATATTGTTCCTTGGAATGTGGGTTGCCATTGAAAAGTTGACATGATGACCGGCTATAATTTGGATCGTTTTTTTGTGTTTTTTTGTTTTGGAACACGTCGTAATTTTGTTACTGTTTTCTCGATTTATCAACTTCAAATACGATACCACGGGACGAGGAAGCCATAGCATGAGACGAGAAAGCAATAGTATACATTGCTTTGTCATCATGTGTTTTATCGCTTTCTGACGGTAAAGCAATATCCTCTCTCTTCCAGTAAAGGGTTCCTTGTGCCAAGTGTTTCTACACCATAAAACGAGTACACGTAAAACAACAGTAATGAATTGTTAAACCACTCCTTAGTATCATTAAGAGGCGGACAATTTAATACTTGGGTAGGTGGTTAGGTGAGTGGTTGTCATGTTGTTTTCATCATGTTTCAGGGCTTAGGCTTTTTTAATCGTCATAAAAAAAGATATGAGATTTCTTTCAGTCACATTTCAAATTATAATTTCAAATTTTATACTAAAACCTTCTGACTGAACAGATATATGTGACTTTACATCGAGCAACGGATTTCTGCAAAAAACTGTACTACAGAAAGTGTGCCAAGGATCACAACTTTTAAAGGCATTGCGTCAAAGTTTGTGCATCTGTTGCAATAGCCAAAGATACTATTGCAGGAAGACATGATTATGAACAAAAGTCCGTTTCCATATGCCACATAATGCCAACAACAACCTTCCACAAATACCAGTCAGGTCAACCGTCAAAATGAGAATATCTGACCATACTGAAGCGTAAAGAATCATGAAAACAACTTTAATATCCAAACCACAACATTCAGTAGCGGGTATGTGATCCACGTGATGCGATGACAGCCTGGCACCATCGTCTCATGTTCCCAATAAGTGTCTGGATGGTTGCCAAGAGAAGACTGTTCCACTCTTCAGTAAGAGTGAGTTAGTAAGTATGGTTTTACGCCGCTTTTAGCAATATTCCAGCAATATCACGACGGGGGACCCCAGAAATGGGCTTCACACATTGTACCCATGTCGGGAATCGAACCCGGGTCTTCGACGTGACGAGCGAACGCTTTAACCACTAGGCTTCTGGACCTCCCCACATCAGTAAGACATTGCTGGGTTCCTGTAGAGTTGCCGGAAGGACAGGGCGTAGCGAGAGGGCGATCTGCAGCTCGTTCCACGTGTGTTTGATAGGGTCGGGGTCTAGTAACCAGGCTGGCCACTTAAGCCGATGAAATCGTGCGTTATCATCTGGTCTGATTGCTCAACCTCCAGAATGCCGTCCCTGGCATCGCACTAAGCTGTAGGACATGTCTATTCGTTCTCCGAGCTCTACTGATCCAACCCCAAATCATGATAGCGCCCCCTCCACAGCCGTCATGTTCCGCTAGATTGGAATTCTGAAAAAAAAGTCATGGTCTACGTCACACTCGCGTCCGGCGATCTGTGAAATCTAGACTGTATCCCTATTCATCAGTGAAAAGTACTGGAGCCCAGACCTGGTCGAGTCCGTGATCGGAGACCAGCCTCACGAAGACTATTACGCACTAAGTAGAAACGTTAACGCCACAGGCGTTCCGCAGGTTATTTCTGGGTGGGGTGGCAGTCACGAAGTGAAATAAGGAGAAACCTGTCTCCCCTCTAAGGGGTAGAACGCTGTCGACCTTCTGCATGCTGCTTCCATGCCCTGCTATTCACACTTTGGTGTACAGACGTTTTTAACGTGACGATGTGTTGACCCACTGTCAAGCATGCCCATGTATCTGTGAAACTCTTCGGTCGTCGTTGATGCTGAGGGAGCATGAGTGCATTCGGTTGTAGCAATCCTCAGAAGCAAACGTTGTCATACTCTTTGATAATGACGTGCAACGATTCTGTCACGATATGTCCAAACAGATTTTCAAGCACCTCGTGCACATCGTGCTCATGGCTTGACGCCTATGTCCGTTCATCATAAGATTAAGGTCCTATAGAGGTTACCCAATCATTGTGTACCGGGATATTTCAATCTTTACTTGTTGGATGATTTCTTGATTTCATAAAATCTTGATCCTAAGTACACTGAGTAGTATACTTGATTATTCTTCTCAGCGCGTGACGGGTACTGGCAAAACTCTCTAAATAAATCAGGTTAAAATCGAAATACATACTACTCAAAAGAAGAACACCAACTCTCTAATGTCGATGTTGTTAATCTTCCATGGCTACTGGGTATTGAATGATATATGTTGTTAAACTGCAAATGCCATGGAGTTGACAGTCTTGGTCATGTAGCAAGTTTTAAGTTTTTGTTTAGGTTAACCTTTCAATAATATGTTTTTCATTACCCAAAACCTCGGATGCATATAAAAAAATAGTACAATCATGACATTGAAAGTGTTAAGTAAATAATCTGAGGGTAAATCTATATTCCTTGCCTTTTGTATGGAATTGCATTACCTTTTTAATTATAATTATCTGCTACTTTATGTTCTTATTCTTTCAAATAAAATAACATGTTTTTTTGTGAAATACTGCAACGTTCCTTCTCATAACAACAGTGAGTTTCCATATACTATAACAGTATAAACGGCATTCAGTAAGTGCCGTAAAGAAAGAGGACCAAACGGTGTTGTCTTTGAACAAACTAAGCAAACTAAGCGCATCACATCATATAATCATTGACATATTCAAAGTTAATACCGTCACTCGTTGTGATAAGAGGTAGGCTTCTAATTATTTTGAATATATTGTGAACATATTGTAAAGGTGAAATATCTTTTTCTCCTGGGCGTATACCTGAAATACTTGAGATGTATTAAAAAATATTATTGTTCTGCTAGACACGTGAATGTATTTTACCAGTAATTTTTCTCACTAATAAAAACAATTTGCCCCATATGCCATGTTCCAGGCCAGCTTTTTATGTCAGATCTCTCCCCCCAAAAATATGTTTGTGTTATTGTTTTTGAGAAGAATGTTCATAATATGCACATAATCAATTGTTGATAAACCGTTGATGGAACCCTGCTTGCTAATGGCTAGTGTACTAGTAAATACTGTTCCAAGGCAACGACGAATAGTTATGGGCTGATAAGAGGTTGGGTCAAAGTGATCACATTCTTTTCTTTTCTATCTTATATAATAGCCGCACATAAGACACATGTTCAGTTGTAAAAATCAAGTTAAATATACTCGGCAACAAAACTTCTTGTGACACCCCTTTCCAATCGGCTGCTTACTAGAAAAAATACTTTCTGGTGTTTAAATCGGACACGAAAATATGAAAACAGACATATGTAGCACAAACGAGTATTCATGATCTGATGGCAAAAAGTGTCTTTCATACAGCAATCATGTAACTGATATGTAAACCAGGGTATAAAAGCATGCGTGTTGTTTGGATTCGGTGTGCATTGTTTCTGCTTTTCTTGACAACTGCATCACTGTAAAACGTCAAATTTCAATAATTATTGGAAGTTTGGAGATGCCATGCGTATCTGAAAATGTCCGCTTGAGAGCCATTGGTATTCGCAAGTCGAGAAGGTCGAAGCATGTAGTTTGCTAGGCGATTGGACGTGCACATAAACACCATTTGGACGTTATGGCAACGGTGGCAACAAACAAAGACTCCGACCAAGGAGCGGCAGGTTCCCGGTTACGAGTTTCCGTCATGATCGGTCGATTGGAAATACCCATCTGCGAAATCAGTTCCAGCCTCCAACAATCAACGCGAAAACTATCCCTGGCCTTCGTCGAATATCGGCACAGACTGAACGTTGCCGTCTTAGACGTTACGGGATTGTTGCGAGGAGACCAGCCAGATGCCCAAATCTGACCAACAATCACCGCCGATTGTGTTTGCAGTGGTGTGGACAGTGAGTGCCATAGACGGCAATTCATTGGCGAAAACCGTTTCGGAAGAGGCAGTGTTATGGTGTGGGGAGGAATGACCGAGAGACAGAGAGCTCGTTTGCAAGTGATCAATGTCGATTTGAACGGACAGTGTTACCGTGACGTCATCTAGCCTATCGTTGTGCCGTTTTTAAATCAACATGGACCAGGTATGATTTTTCAGCAAGACAACGCCCGACCCCATGTAGCCGGGATTATCCAACAAGCACTTGGACAGAACAACGTGACTGGCCTTCTCGCTCTCTGGGATGAAATATATATAAATATAATATTGAATTTTATGTGGGATGAAATGGACCGCCGTCTCCGACGTTTACCACAAGCTCCGACTACTGTACAGGAACTGCAAGAGGGGCTGGTGGAGATACTGGATGCCATCCAACAATACTGTGTTAGACGTTCAATGAGAAGGTGTTGATCGATGCTCATGATGTCAATCACTGGATTATTTACAGACCGCTGTCATATAGCTGGAATATTGCTGAGTGCGGCGTTAAACAAGAAACAAAACAAACAATGCGAAGGCGATACCGCATTGCATGCATCCAAGCGAGAGGGGGACACACACACACTACTGACATGTGAATTGACAGTTCTGTTCTTGCATCTTTCTCTTGTTATAACGTCATTTCTGTGCAAGACATGTGTCATAAAATGTGTAAACTTAACTTACTGTCTGCTTTGAAACATGAAATCTTTCAGATGTATGCATCTACTTTGATCGGGTTCGTGTTTTACATCGTGTTACAGGAACAAATTGACCAAGACTGTCAGAAAAAGGTGCTTATTCCAAACATTTAATGTATTAACGGAATCAGGGGCTTGTTTACCCTTACACCTGACCTATCTCATGAGTGGCATCAGAACTTCCCGCTGTAGCTGTCAACCTAGGAACTGTAGTATGATAGAGAATAGTTTATCTTTTTATTTCCTTCTAGACTTCAGCATCCGTATTCCTTGTGTATAAAAGCCTTGGCTATGAGAGGGTCAGGCTTGCGCAAGGCCGCTTCACAAGTTGCATATGCGCTAAAGCACGTTGCACATGCGTGGTCAACGGGTTTTCAACCCATGTCTAACCCATGGAGCATCCGTGTCACATGCGTAAACCATGTGCCTTCAACACGTGTACGGAGACTGAAAGTCTTGGCAGTAGCGTCGTTGTATTGAAACAAAACAAACTGGAAATCCTACTCTATAATAGAAGAGAAAACACATTACCTTTCCCAGCAGTCAGAGTGAACATCAAAACGAACAACAGCGTGGCGAACATCATTGTCTGCCTATACATGCACCACTGTATTTCAGCTGCGCCAGTCTCTGTCTCATATCTCATTAGTAAAAGCTTACATTATATACAATTGTACAACCCCCGCTCCCACGCCTTGATTTCACACGTTGACGGTGAATCGTGTCTGTGGGTGTGAACATACGTTACGTCCTGTATATTGGCGATGAAGATGAAAGTCCCGATAACTACCGCTGATATCCACAGCTGATAATGTTACATTGCTCGTAACGCATGGATTCACTATCAAAACACTGTCGGTAAAGTTTGGTTTTGGAGCTTGATGGCAGTATCACCTGTGTCTGTAACATCTGGATATTGTTCGAGATAATATTTGTGAGTGTGTGAACATCATTTACAACAGGATGTAGAGGTTGGTGTGACTGACAAAGGTGTCATTCACGTGCATTGTTAATTCTACTGTGACATGTACCATGATATGTCCAAGCGTCGTATTGTTATATGATAGTGTACAACGTATTTTATTGTTGAACAATGATTGTAACCGTGTTACATTGTTTCTGGTTGAGATTCGGTAGACGCTCATGGCATTATGTTTGGGGATTGATCAGTCGTCCAGAACTTACTATATTAAGATGGTAGTGTGGTGTGTTAACTCCCGGACCGTTATACCGCGGACGGTGATAGTATCTTAAAGAAACATATGGAAAGTTATGTTATAACAGTAACTATCTAGTGCTGCTAGCCCCGGTGAGGGCGCGTTATAGAAACTGCAAGTTGTTTGTTGTATATATATATATATATATATATATATATACACACACACACACATACCGCGCCCTCACGTGTGCCGCCAAAAACATTTCTTGTTACATTTAAAGTACATAAAGTAACAGCATTCGAATATTATATTGTGCCATTCTATTCAACTTAATTGTATTAAAAGACTTTTTGTCGCATTTTTTTTTCCCTCGACTCAGCAATTCATATTGATGACATTTATATCTTTTTACAGGTACTAAATCCTTTTATAACCCATCTTCACCCCCTCAGTCAACTCAATTACATCGTTGGCGTGACCCGCGACAAAAATGTCGCCCGAACTAGGACTGAAGTAGAGCCACAACTTTATTAACAACATCATCATAACATCAACATCATCACGACCGATTTCATCCCTTCATCTCCATCGAAGACGTTATCGTTCACGTGATCATCGTCATCAACCAAGTCATCCATATCACCCCAATCACCTTCACAGACTTTTCAAGTATATACTTTGACATTTTAATGAGTTTGTAATCATAAATTTACATTAAGAAGCTGTGGTAATTTATATTCAGATTGTGATATTCAAGGACGACTGTGATAGACATTATATTCAGGCAAATGTGTATTGTAATATCTCTACTTGTGTTGTACACTTGTTGTGGGGATGGACTCGGAACACTTCCGAAAAAGTTGACACGTTTTGTTTACACTCTGCAAAGATGAACTTTCACATGACGTGCTGCTGATTGTGTATTACACTTCTGATTTTACGCTGGAAATGTGTATGCTGGGGAAATCGGTGACATTTATACTGTATGCTTTCGTACAAGCTATATTTATTCATTAGTATTTGTGCGCACTAGGTCCTGCTCTTTATGTGTGTGTGTGTGTGTGTGTCTGTGTGTGTGTACGTGCGTGCGTGCGTGCGTGCGTGTGTGTGTATGTGTGTGTACTGCCTAAGAGTTCATTCCCTTACACGCATGGGCAACGCGTTACGCAACCCGTGTGTACCCCGTCTCGTATATGTATATGTCTCGTATCATGGAGGATACACTTTGGGGAGAGGGTTCTACTAATTACCGTACCACAGGAAGAGGTTGTGGTAAGATGGCCGTTACATAATGGCCGCCAGGAGAGTTCTGTGTAACGGTTCACCCCTTGTTTTCAGACGTGCCATTCAGACAAATAAGTCATGTATGACAGTTATCACAATCTCACCGGTTATAAAAATTTGATACATGCTGACTGACACTCTTGATGGGTCAGTGATTAAGCCAGCAGATCAATACACACGCTTCCCATGCAGTATGTACGTATAATTACATGGCTGTGTGTATGCATGGTATGTATGGCTGTTTGTATGATTACATGTATCTATGTAAATTATGTGTGCGCGTGTGTGTGTAAATGTATGTGTAAATGTAAGTAAGCCTAGATTACAAAATAAATGCTTCGGTCGTTTGAAGCCAGAAGGCAGAGATATTCCCGGGAAAGAAGCCTTCTCTCGCAGTTGGTCACTGGTGCTGAGTTGGGCGAGTTGAGGCGAGTGAGCTTAGGATTATCGGCGGTTGTGTGAAAACAATGCTTCAGAAATATCGACGTCCTGTCCCTGTGAACAAACCTACAGATTACGGATTGAACGCCAAAAGTGTCTGTCCGGTTTCTTAGTGCTTAATAACTTTTGCTGGAGAATATGTTTCGTGTACAAGCGTTATAAAACATGTTAACATCAAAATATATGAATGTTGAAGCTAGGTTTCACTTTAGTTTTCCTTGATTTAGCAGGCCCATCATACTGAAAAACAGCCTAACTGTTTATATTACTATATCATGCTATACTTTCCATCTAACAAAGATATACATTACTATTATATTAGGCCTTAATCTTATCTTTATTTAAAACTTTCTCCCTCTGTAACACAATCCATATATGCTTGTATTATATTTAATATATCCGTATTTACATACATCATTTATAATTTATAGTCAACATATATAGCTATACTATACTTAATAATGTAATGTATCACATTAAACTTTTCCCCCACAATTAAGTATGGTGGTTTATATCAATTAAGCATATTATTTATAATTCAACTCGACCTACCCTGTCGATGAAATGCAGGACTGTGAAGTTGACGTAAAACTTAAACATTGATGATGATAATACATGAATGTTTATGCAATAAGCGCTGCGTGTGAAGATAAATTTAAATGCGTTTGACATAATAACATATTTCAACACCCTTTTTATCAGTAGACATAAACATTTAAACGTTAGTAGCTGATAACCGTTGAAATTAAAAAGTCTACGAAAACATGTATTTCTTATAATGGATGGTCCATTAGGATATTTAGTGAAGTACCGTAACTCGTTACGAAAAAATAGTTCTCTTGATATTCAATACTGGACATTTCCCCAAACCCCACTTTTTGTTTGTTTTTGGTAAAAGTTCATAAGAGGAGGTTTAGTGGGGGACTAGAGGTATATTTTCAGAGGGGGTTATTCTGACATTACCCACTTTTTACTGGAGGATTTTGGAAATTAATATAGACTTTTGTCTGGCGGCAGATAGGATTTGTTATTTTAACAATCAATGGGGGTTTCACATTAGGGGTCGTGATTTTTACAATTGCCTCAATGGTCCTGCTGCGTATTGGTGCTTAGTGATGTCAAAGGTAACATTTTAATTTTAGGGGAAATCGGTTGTGAATACTTAATACCATGCATGTATGATATCCTCAGGATTTTTAGCCCTCTCTTTATCTGTGTGTAATTCTCAACCAGTTCATGCATTCCATGGTAAAAAAAGATCATACTTGGTTAACATCCGTGTTCATCTGTGACAACTCCCCACTGGTGATATTTTAGTGAACTTGGCAAGTGGTGATGAATTTTGATATTCATATTGTTATAATCTGTCAAACTGTACATAAATGTGTGTGTTAAATCATAATATTCAAGGGGACTTTTCCCTACACCCATCAATATCTTAATGAATACACATTACTTTATCGTATGGACTATAAAAAGATCTCACAAAGTATATGTTTTGCATGCATGACAGATGGGATTAAGGGAGAAAGGAAATATTTACCTGAACGTTTCCCATAACTAGTGGAGAAAATTGGAAATGGCTGAACCTGTAGATAACCTCCATAGATAACATAGGGTAGCATGCAACAGGCTCATTACCTTGTGAAACCTTCTCTTACTCTGATATGATATATTATGTCAAAGTGAAAACAAAAAAAAACATTAACGTGCAACAAAGCATTTTCCATGGACTTGTTTATTTGCTTATTGTTGATATACATGTGTTAAGACTATTTTGAACATGTGCTATATCAGCTATAAAATGCTTTATTAGTGAATGCGTGTAATGCATGCATATTGGCTTTCCACTTCTCATAATGCTTCATATAAAAGCAAAACTGTGTATTTAATTAACCTCATTTCTCATGTAAGTGACTGATTTCAAAACGCATGTATTGGTGTTACACAGCCAGGGTCCCAACTCTCGTGCATCTACTGTAATGTTTCGCCCTCGCGATCTAACGTTATAACATTTTAGGTCATAGACATCCTCTTAGACACAACAGCTGCGTTCTGAACATATTATCTTTCGGCTCCATAAACTGTACTGTCTTAAAATTGACTTTATTAGTCTTTGGATGTTACGGAGGTTACGTCTAGTACACACAAACAAAACCACTTAGCCTATATAAGGAATGAAGCAGGCAGTGGATCTTCCAGTTGGCTGACTTACTGCTGGTAATATCCGTTTTCTTTTAGCAAATAGAGATAGTTAGTAACAAACATATACGATAAACAACGAATATTTGCACAACTATCACAAAACCTTTCGACACTGCCACCGCATCAAACCCCGCGGTAGACTGGACACAGTTAGGTGCGCAACAATTTCATAACCCCTACCGACAGGGTGGGGATGGTGGCTCATAGCGAAACAGGCAACCCTGTTTGTTGTCTAATAAAGGCCTGTCCTCTTCTGGGCTACAACTCATATCGCCTACACTACTATCAAAAGAAATTTATGGATGAGTGCACATCGCACTTGTACCCTTATCCCATAAAGGGGCACTGATCTAAAGCAATTCGCCGGGACTGGTTGTTGCCTTTGTTATTGTTTTTTCCTCGTGAGAACCCGGATGATACGTAACACCACTGAGCGTGACAGGAGACTGGGCTACCGTCTGCAAGGACAGCTAAATAAACTTGGAGGCAATATTTGTTTCACGCGTTTTGGGTCACTGATTGGTTAACTGTGATCTATAAAGATTTCGAAAAAGGGTGCA